GTCGTCTCCTGTTTTGAGGCCTGTCCAGAGACCTAGCCTGTATCTTAAAAAAAATAAAAAATAAAAAAAAATAAAAAAATTAAGCTTGCAACACCAATGTTTCAATACATAAAAAATTAAACAACTTATATAAGGGTTTCAAAATTAAATTTACAGCGGTTACCATGCAGTATACACCCGCATTTTCCAAAAGATGGACTGATGACAAGAGAAAATCGATCGTGCTTATCCTCTCGTCCCAATGTTTAATCACATCGAATTTGAAAAAAAAAAAGAAAATCCGTTCAAAACTGTACCATCATTCACAAGGTTTTCCGCAAAGGAGATTGGGGTTAACACCAGAACGGAATGAACCGCGACGCTGAATATCGATAGGATTCGTCCTCGCATGATCTCAATGCTTCACACCAAATTTGAAAAACAACTTGTTAAAAAATATAGCATCTTTCACAAGGTTTTCTGAGAAGGTCGTAGAATGCAAAGTCCCTACGAAAATCAAGAGGTTTCATGCTCTCATGTCCCCAACCATTACACCAATTATTGACGTTCAAAATACTGCACGTTTAAATAATTGAGTCATACCCCATGTCATTTATTCATACTTTTCAAAACTTTCTGATTCTTCCTATGACGGTATGAACGCTGTCTTGAATTTCTTAAGGCGTTTGAACAAAGGCGCCAAGAACGTTTTTAAAATTTGGTTCTATTTTTTTGTTATAAACAATATTTTATTTCAATTGAATATGGATTGGGGAACAGGCTATAAGTTGACTCCTCTCCAGAATTCTATTAGTTGACATGATTAATGCTATCTGTCTGTTGTAAAAATATAGAAACAGGTGGACTATTTTACCTGATATGTTGTCCCGACATCAGTGCGCTGTCCAAGATGAACCAAATCTAATCTCATGGTAAGTCTTCTTGGCACGGCTAGCAAAGCCATAGGTAGAAACTCAAAATCTCCATGACGACTGTACTGACTATCAGAAATAGGTGGATGTTGGCGTTTGAGGCTCAAGTTGGATTTTCGATGTTTCAAACTGTTTAAGGTTGTTAAAATGGATAAAGTTGGTTCAATGCACTCTAACCATAAAGTGGCTGGCAGTCCATCAATAATAGGTTCATTAAAATAAAACTCTTCTACAATCTTCTCAAAACCAGGTTGTAGGAACTCCGTAGACCGATGATAAGATGGGCTTAAAGAAAAGAAACCAACTCTACATGTCAGGTCTTTCTCAGTAAAACCAAAGCACAAGTCTAGTACTGGTTCTGTATCCACAGTGGAACTCAAATATAGGAGGCCCTCCTCTTTCAATGCAAGCTCAAAACTGTTAACAGATGTAGAGCTTACGCTTGGTAAAAATTCTCTTGAATACTCGTTCTCTAACGTGAAGTTATCCGACCTTCTCAACAAACAGCTAAACAATTTACGAAACCATTTACGTTTGCTAGCTTTCTGTCCAGGCATATAACCAAGTTTCCAAACGACACTGCTTCGAAGAATAAACAGTAAACGTTGTCATAAACGATTTTCCATTATGACGTCATATGAATTAAAAGGACCCACCACTATTGTTACAGGGTCTCTAAACGTTATAGGTATAAAAAAAACCAACATGCGATTGTTTCTAATGTTGCAATAAGGCTTTGATATAACATAACAAAATTCGTATAAGTGGTAACAAGTAATTCCAGAGATGGGGGCAGGGCTATCCAAACTGGGAAACACGGATCTAAAGGACAGTGTGTCGGGACTCGGGGTCGGATTCCACATCTTTACTCCCTCGAACACTTCAAAAATATGTTAAATACTGGAGACCTAGTAAGGAGAGAGAGGTCCAATCGACACAAACTAGGTCATTTCGGGACTAACATTATGGTTCAATTTTATTTCAATACTTTTCTTGCACATGGGTGTCTTGAGCAGTGGGAGGAAACCGGAGCACTAGACAGCTGGCCTTGTCAGGCCCTCCGTCCTGCATCACTGATATGGGGGAACCACGCCGGAAAATCTGGGTGAAGTTTGTCGGCCAATGCAAGGATCGAACACCCGACCTCCAGGCTAGCGAGCAAGCGTCTTACCCACTTAGGCACCGTGACCCCTTAAAGTCAATCGAATATTATCTTTAGCCTTTAGAGCGTCCACAAGGTTTTTCAAAGTGAAATCGTTGAGAATCTCATGACCTTAAACAATATGTCTAAATTTAAAGTCAACTGGTTATTAACTTAGCCTCAACGGCGTCAACAAGCAATGACAAGGGCGACGACAATATATTATACTCTTCAAAAAAAGTAGGGGATATTGAAATGCAAATACCTATGCAGGTTGTGATATGATAAATAGTCTTGGACACTTGACTTGCTTTGAGAGTATGTTCACAGATGAAGAACCACTGAGCTGCACATGTGACGCGCAATAGCGCCATACACGTGAGAGGGGTTCATTGCCTAATTTGACACTTCAAGGAAGGTTTGATGAAAACTGCCGCGTGCTGGTTTATCTATCCATGTTAGCATTCCTACGGGTTCTTGCATAAGATTTACTGTTTAGCGTATCTTTGCTTTTAGTGTGTTACGTTTATTTTCATCGGGAGACGTGTTCGTCGACGTCAACGGGCAACACAGTAAGAATTGACCATGGCACTGCAAGGGGAATGGGTCAGATTGCCCCAAATCGTGATTGGACGGTTGATTAGGAGCATACCACGACGAATTGTTGAATGTCTGAGGATTGGTGGAGTAATTACTCATTAAGACAAAAATCAAAGATAGGTTGCCCACAGCAGCTAAATCAACCGGGTAGTCAACAAGTGTTGTCGCATATTTTTACTTTTTTTCCGGTAATGAAACATTTATAATACATTAAAATCTGATTAAGAGTAACAACTCATGAAGTAATTATCAGTAAACCATTAGAATTTGTTGGTTTTTTTTTTTATAAAGTTCTGCGTATAAAGTTCTGTGTATCAATCTGAAGTCAATCGGATGATAACTTTAGCCTCTAGAGCGTCACAAGAATTTTCAAAGTTATCGTTGAAAATCAATAGACTTCTTCGCCTCATGACCTTAAACGCTGTGTATAAATTTAAAGTCAATCGGATATTAACTTTAGCCTCTAGAGCGTCAACAAGCAATTGTGGACGCCGGACGGACGGGGGACGACGACAATATAAGACCACATTTCAATGTGGGCGTATAAAAACGTCCATTTTCACTTTTGACGGTGTATCTCTTTGCCAGTGAAATGGGGCCGTCAGATAAGCCGCCCATATGAACTGTTTATGTTCATGTGTAGGCAATTGGCCTGTTATTAACATACACTAGTTACCACTAATAAAAGCAGCAGTGTCTTTTCCGCAGTTTTTTATTGTTTCTGAATATCCCCTACTTTTTATACACCCACATTTTCATGTGGACGTATATTGTCGTCGCCCCTGTCCGTCCGACGTCCACAATTTATTTGTGGACACTCTACAGGTTACAATTCTTATCCGATATAGGTTTATCTTCAAAAGATCTCGGTTGCTTTCGATATTGGCATGTATCGGATCGAAACTTCATGGATTATGGCCCCTGATTGTACGAAAAATCACGTTTTTAGCTTGTGGACCCTATAGAGGTCACAATTTTAATCCTATTTTGATGAAACTGAAATGTAAGTTTATGACCCAAAGATATCGATTCCTTTCAATAATCGCGCATATCGGACTGTAACTTCTTGAATTATGGCCCCTGATTGTGGACCCTATAGTAGTCATAATTAACAATTTCCGTTAAAGCTAAGTAGAGATAAACAATTTGATTGGTTGATCCTTTGGGATAATATAACTTTTATTCTAATTAATGCAGCATTAGGTAAGATTAGATAATTAAGAGCTTACAGTTCTAGCTATAATAGTTAAACAAGAGCATCCCTATCGCTGCAATATACGTCCGCAATTCTTTTATATGGAACTTTTTAAAATTAAGTCATTGAATTATTAAATGGCTAATATGACAAGAGGCAAAGAAGGCTAGACGTTGGTTTTTTTTTGCCAAATTAACAGACTAAATATTAACAAAAAGCAGGTATGACACCACCCCAGGGGGTTGGGGCATGCACCAAAATAAATAAAATTGGACATGGGTCTGCCCATGGGGATTGGACATGGGACAATATAAATAGGTACAAACCTGTCATGAAATGATTGATATACCTTGGGGTATAAGGAAAAAGTATGAAATGTTTCAAGATGATCTGGTAAGAAATGTGACCTGTGGAACAAACAAATACAAATAAGTGGACATGACTCTGCCCCTGGGGGTCGGGCATGCACCATAAACAATAGGGATCATTCTGGGGGTATAAGAATCTGTATGTAAAGTTTCAAGACGATCAGTTAAGAACTGTGGCCTGTAGGCGACACACAGACAGGGGTGATGACAACATACATCCACATATTGAATGTGTGGAAATATAAAAATAGATAATGAAATGAGACTATGCTGAAATCAATAATTTATATGACATTCCAGATCTAAAGAAAGACCTGCAATAGGCGGATTTAGCTCTTGCATTATGTGTGTTTAAGAGAGAATGATGAATCTTGATGTATAGCTTCGCTACATCAAAACCATGACCAAGTTCGAGAGAGAGAGAGAAATGGGGTTTAACGTCCACTCGACACAAACTAGGTCATTTCGGGACTAATATGTGGTTTAATTTTATTTCAATAATTCGCTTGCGCATAGGGGTCTTTAGCAGTGGGAGGAAACCGGAGGACCCGGAGAAAACCCACGAGGTTGGACAGGCGACCCTACTCCTTGTCACGTACACCAGGGATTCGAAACCACACGAGTCGACTCAATGACAGGCTTTATGATACAGCGCGCGCACGCTAACCATTCAGCCATCCAACCCCCCATGACCAATTTCGATCATAAGATCTTTCTACTTAGGCGAAGTATAGATACCTTAGCAGTTTGATTGCTCAATTCTTTTCAAAAAGATAAATGCGTAATTATCAATATGCGTCATCCATTTATTTGCATTGCTGTAAAGTACATCAGCCTCACTGTTGGCTTGTTCATATAGATAACAATAATGTATAACCATATTTAATGATACTTTAGCTTAGAAAATACTTTCATAGTATGTCACAGAATCTTCTATACTGGTAATTATAATCTAGAAAAATACAATACAAACATACAAGACACAGGCAAAACATGGACATTGCAAGAATCTGGGGGTCAGATGTCATCTTCTACTGTATGGAACATTGATATGAAATGTAACCCTATTACAGATAGTGCACACAAGTCTTTCTAATTTAACCTATGATAAAGATAGCAGACGACAATGGCTATGAGCACTGTTGTTTTTTTGTTTTAGCTAGTATGTCTTTTATATAAGGATTGTTTTTAGCACTGATTTCTTCTTTTAATTTATCAACTTCTTTTTTTAAATCTTCTTCTGTCATAGAATTGATAGGTAATTTTTTCACTCTTTGTAGAAAATCATGGATTAATTCTTCACCCTCCTGTAAAGTAAGATTGAATTAAATTTATTCATGCTTTGTAATAGGAGCCAAGATAAGGTAGGACTTGTGAAAAGCTGATTCAATTTGATGCTTTGTAACTTTATTTTTGTATTCATGTACTGTTTGAGGGAGCCATAGTGGCACATTGAGTATTGCACTGGCTCACGAATCAGGGGGTCTTGGGAGTAATCATTATGTTGGCAGAGAAAGTTCCTCAGAATTTTCAAGCCTTGCTTCCCATTGTCAGTGGTGCAGGGCCTGGAATGTAGAAGCTTCTAGTTGTTTTAATGTTATGATAAACTGAGGTCCCACCATATCTTGTTGGTTTTGTTTTGTGTGTAGTGCGGTAGTCCTGCACTTACTATACCATTGGCAGCATGACAGTTTAAAATTAAAATAAGTGTAGGCCATAACGTATATGGGGAAAATATCCTTTTATAGTAAAATATTAAATTCATTTCTTTCCCTTTGTACTGTTTTGCTTAAAGTGTTATGAAACCTTTCAGGAACTTATTTTTTCGTTCCTTTTACAGAAAAATGAGTATTTTTGCGGTTAATTAAAGCTTGGTGCTTGGCAATGACACCGATATTGAATATCTTGAAATGGGAAAAATCCAACATAACTAATCATATCCGGGGCAAATTGGCTCGTACACCTATGATCGCATCAGTACAAACCTGTTTTGCCAATTTTCTTTTCTTAATAGCAGGTTCACCATCACCTTCAAAATCTGTTCCTTCTAAACTGACTGATTGAAAATCTTCTAATTCATTAGCCTTCTCTTTAGCAAACTGAAATATACATGTTTACATTATTTAAGCAATAAATATCACATAGACATCTTTATTGTTATATATCCAATATATATTGTGATGGAATGCACAAAATTTACTGTTTTTGACTGCTATTGATTCTCGCTTTGTTTTAGTAATTTTGAATAACTTTTTTTTCTTCGGATTCTTAATGTTATGGTGTGTAACAACTTCACGGTCGAATATTGTAGCAGCTGCATGGAAACATTGTACATTCACCTTCAAGAGTCCATCTTGCTTGATAGATAACAATGACAAGGCAGAGATTCAATAAAACTCCAAAGGATTTGGGATATAACAATTTACGGGCTTTAAATACTGAATTTAAATTTATGACTAGTTTTTAATTTTTGACCCATGTAACTCTTTTAGCCAGTCACATTTATTCGACTGACAGGCGGACTTACCTCTATAACATATTTAAGGAAGTGAGCTAGTTCTGACTTACCTCTATAACATATGTTTAGGATGTGAGCCAGTTCTGACAGATAGACCTACTTCTATAACATATGTTTAGGGAAGTGGTCTAGTTCTGTAAACTTACCTCTATAACATGTTTAGGAAAGTGAGCCAGTTCTGCTACGTGAATACCAAAACTCTGATCACAAACACCTTAAAGAGAAATACATCAGTAATACTTTTTAATACAACCAACTAAGAGTGTCTAATAATGTAATTACATTGTTTTTAAAAATTATAATAAAACTTCTTCCAAGTTACACTTGATTTCAGAGAGAGAGAAATGGTCTGTGTTTAACGCCACATAGCAAACATTAGGTCATTTTAGGACTAATGTATGGTATATTCTTACTAACTTTAATTATGATATATAGCACATGTTGGCTGCCCAACCTACCGAATTAATTTATATTCTTTGGTATGTTTAATACAGTATATCATATTAGTCAAAGGAACTTTAGGTATTTTCCCTTGTTTGAATTGAAGACAAGCCAACAGTGAGGCTGATGTCCCCCGCCAAAATACCAAAATAAATAGATGACACATTAATTTATCGCACATTTATTTTTTTTAAAGTATCAAGCAATCAAACTGATTATCAACTATACACTTAAGTTTCATCACTCTCTATCAAAGTTATCTTGTCCTAAAGCATCAACCAACAAGGCATTGACCTAATCAACACATACACCAAGTTTGAACATTCTAGCTCAATTAGGAAGAGAGTTATCGTGCCCCAAAGTATCAACCAATCAAATTGCTTATCTCTGCTTACCCTAAGCGGAAAATGCTCATCTAATCAAATTGCTTATCTCTGCTTACCCTAAGCGGAAAATGCTCATCTTCGAACTCCATCAAGGCATTGACCTAATCAACACATACACCAAGTTTGAACATTCTAGCTCAATTAGGAAGAGAGTTATCGTGCCCCAAAGTATCAACCAATCAAATTGCTTATCTCTGCTTACCCTAAGCGGAAAATGCTCATCTTCGAACTCCATCAAGGCATTGACCTACTAAACACATACACCAAGTTTGAACATTCTAGCTCAATTAAAAGTTATCGTGTCCCAAAGCATCAACCAATCAAATTGCTTATCTCTGCTTACCCTAAGCGGAAAATGCTCATCTTCGAACTCCATCAAGGCATTGACCTAATCAACACATACACCAAGTTTGAACATTCTAGCCCAATTAGGAAGAGAGTTATCGTGTCCCAAAGCATCAACCAATCAAATTGCTTATCTCTGCTTACCCTAAGCGGAAAATGCTCATCTTCGAACTCCATCAAGGCATTGACCTAATAAACACATACACCAAGTTTGAACATTCTAGCTCAATTAGGAAGAGAGTTATTGTGTCCCAAAAAGTGTGACGGACAGACAGACGGACAGACAGACAGACGGACGAACCCATTTTAATAGTCCCCTGCTTTCTTCGAAAGGCGGGGGACAAAAATTGAGTTGAGTGATTTTACCTGGTTTTACTCGATATAGCAACGTTAATGTATTGTTTGTTGTCAGTGCCGTCACATGAAGATTATTAACAGTAGTGACACTGTCAGATAAAGCTGTCAATTCATGAAAATGGGTGGCAAATAAGCAAAATGCCTTGATCTTTGTAGCAATATGTCTGAAAAGCAAAAATTAGCAAGTTGTATTTTAGTATTTCAGTATTTTTAGCACATAAGTTGATATTTTTTTCCATTGAATATATGGATGATGGTTGAAAATTGACATCCAGAATTTCATATTCTAGAAAAGACGCTTACACCAGTACTTGTCCAGTGGTGGACTCTATGGCAAATTTCAGTCTGCTTATCGAGAGGGGCACAGCACCGAGACGGCGCTCCTTAGAGTCCTGAACGATGTTGTGCTTGCTCTTGATAGGCAACATGATGTCATATTGGTATTACTGGATCTTTCTGCTGCCTTCGACACCATCGATCACAGCATCCTCATGAACAGATTGCGTAAGCGTTTTGGCGTCTGTGGTCAGGCTTATGATTGGATCAATTCCTTTCTTCGAGGAAGAACACAAAGAGTGTCAGTTGGATCGGTGGTGTCGGAGGACCACCCCCTAGAATTTGGAGTTCCCCAGGGCTCGGTCCTAGGACCGGTTCTGTTTGCATTATACATGACTCCAGTCGAGGATATTATCAGCCGCCATGGTTTAAATGCCGTAATATACGCTGATGACACCCAGCTCTACATCACTTGTGACTCGCGAACGGACTCGATTTCTGCCGGTCGTATTGAGGCCTGTATAGATGAGATTCGTCTCTGGATGCGTGCAAACTTACTTGCACTCAATGATGATAAAACTGAAATTGTCCGTTTCTCATCGTGCAGGAAAAATGCGAGTCCGCAGGTTGTCGCGGGTGATGTACGAGTTGGTGAGGTGCTTGTTTCGCCATCGGCTTCCGCACGGGACTTGGGGGTGATGATGGACTCGGCTGGACTAATGGATGATCAGATCAAGAGTGTGTGTAGCAGGGCTTCTCACTCACTGTGGCGTATAGGGCGAATCCGGCATTTGTTAGACCAGGCCAGTACTGAGAAATTGGTGCATGGCTTTGTGACATCAAAACTGGATTACTGTAACAGTCTTTTTTATGGTCTCCCGAAATACAAGTTAAAGAAATTACAACATGTTCAGAATTCCGCTGCTCGACTGGTGATCCGAAGGAAGCTGGAGCGTCACGCAGAGATGACGCCCATTCTTCGGGAACTACACTGGCTCTCAGTTGAGAAGCGGATTCATTTCAAACTGTCATGTATAATTTTCAAGTTAATACGCCATAGTGAGTCAGCGCCTTGCTACCTCACTAATATCATTAGTATTCAAGTTCCATCCTATCGGACTAGAAGCAGTGATGGGGTGAAGTTGCGACGCTTTTCCCACAAAACACATGGAAAACAAACCAGTGAGTTGTATGGCGATCGCGCCTTCAGTCGTGCCGCGCCTACTCTCTGGAATGAGCTGCCACTAAGACTTAGATCACTCACCAAATTCAGCTTGTTTAAATCCAACCTCAAAACATATTTATTCAATTAGGCAATAACTACTAGTCAATCTAATGTTTTTATAGGCATACATTTGTATATCTTGAATTGAGATTTTTTATGAGTTATTGATAGTGTTTATTCATTTATTATTATGTATATACTATGTGTAGTACGCCCATGTAAAGACGGTTGAGACAATTTGTGTGTAACGGTCTATAAACAATATATATTATTATTATTATTATTATTATTAGTAGATAAATTAGAGAAAGGCTGCTCTATAGATCTTGCTGAGGATTTAAAAATTAAAGAACTCATTAAAATTTTCTCAGATTTTCAAATGAGAGACAATTGATGTTAATCAACTGAAAATAATTTGACTAACTTGATTCTTTATTTTGAAGTTAAATGTTTGTTACAGGGCGTGGGTTAGCTACTTACTCTGAAATAGCCCAAGCTAAACCAAATCCATCATATGTGGATGTTCCTCTCCCTAATTCATCTATTATAATTAGTGAATCTTCTGTAGCTGACTAAAGAAGAAAAGACAATAGTTAGCCCATACAAACAAATAAATTCTGGTTCGCAGACAATCCTTCCAAAATATCTGATGTGGAAGGGAGGTTTTTATTCATTTAATTATTCTAGGATACAATTCCACTTTAAAACCTGTTTTTCCGATTAACTAAAAGAAGAAATAACACTTTATAATAATACAACTGACCCTTAGTATAGAAGCTGTTTCTAGCATTTCTGCCATGAATGTGGATACACCTTTAAGTTGACTATCACCTGCTCCAACCCGAGCTAATATACTATCAACTATTGTTACTTCTGCTTCTGAACATGGCACAAAACAACCAAGTTGTGCCATTAATACAATAACTCCAACCTATTAATATAAATATCTGATCTAATCACTCCACTCAGTCCACTGTTTGATTTCTAGATATTCACAAATTAACTGTTTTGAAATTTAAGAACCATTACAGAATATAATAATAAAAGTTATTTTATCAATCTCTCATTTTAAATATCAGAATTCATAGATATTTTTCAGAATGACACGTCATGAAGTTAAATAGTTCAGAATATGAAAAAAGGGACCAGTTTTGTTACATACTAGGACTTGAATTCATGTCTATAACTAAGAAATGAAATGAAATGGGGTTTAACGTTCTACTGTTCTGCTCCGAGTCACTCCGACTGAGCTAATGAAGATGGGCATACGCCAAACAGTGTGCTATGAGGGGAATTTTGCCCGGGCAGCGGCACTACTCTTATATCGAATTCCAACTGCCAAGCAATCTTTTACATGCATGCCAATGTATCCACAGGTTTTTCATCCCATCTGAATGACTAGACAGCTGTCCTTGTCAAGCCCTCTGTCCTGCACCACTGACACGTGGAAACGTCGGAAAATCTAGATGAACTTTCTTGGCCAATGCAGGGATTGAATACAAGACCTCAAGACTAGCAAGCCAGCGTCTTACCCACCTAGTCACTGTGGCTCCCCAGATAACTAAGAAAAACACTTACTGATCTAATATATGTTGATTTTCCACCCATATTTGGTCCAGTAATAATATGAAACATTTGTTCATCTATTGGTGGTTAAAAAAAAGAAGATATGGATGAATATTTGCACATGTAGGCCTTACAATACAGTAACTTTTTAAAAAACCTAGCATGATGACAAACACATTAATGAAAATAAATTCATATATTTGTGTAAAATGATCTGGTAACAACAGTTATTTCTCTTATAGAGCATTAGCAAAAAGAAATCGTTGAGTGATGGCAACTTGTTTCTACTGGAATATGTTTCTAATTCTGCTGTGGTCTTGTTTAATTTGTTTTGTTGTAAAGTCCTCCTCCATCCAGTATTGTCTCCCATTCAAAACTATTGTTTCAATTAATTCACCGTCAATTAACTGACGAAGAAATTAAAAGTGTATGGAGGACATTGACGGTGAATTAATTGAAACAATTTAACTGAATCAATTAATTGACGGATCAAAGTTCCTTTGATATTTATTGACGGCTCGTCAATTAAATTGACCGTGTGTGCTAGTGCCAGAGATGCATTCATCTCGATGTTTTCGATCAGAATGAAAATTGACTCTAAAACATTGATTGTGTGTGGGTAAAGTCAATTTCATCAATTATTTGACAAAAGAATTGAACGTGTATGGGCCGCTTAAGATACACACAAACTTTTCAATACCAATCTTATTAAGACTTTGCACACCTGTTCCATGTGTAAAATAACCCAGAGAACACATAACAGGCCGACCGTTTGTTGTGTAATAATGGGGGTACAAGCGGAAAGAAAAAAAATATTTATAGCAAACGAGAAGGTTCCCAGACCTAGATCAGCTCTTGGATAAATTATGACATGGTACACATCGTTCACTTCATCTGCAATAAACAATCATGGCTGCCTCCAGCTGCAGTTTCACACTGGATCATCATAGAAATAGATTTTCATTGACATCTATCTATATATGATGTCAGAAGGAATTGCCTCTATGACATGATTATCCAGGTCTACTATCTATCAGGACTGGAACATGGCTGAATTTCATTTTTTGATGGTCGAATACTATAATTTTTGAATGTATACAATGATTTAGAGAGCGGCGGAGTAGTGCACTGAAGTAAATATTACTTTTTACATCCGAATTGTTGTATTTTAAAACTTGTCGTAGACGTATACAAAGAATTTACCGGAAATCACAAAATCTCGTTTGAAGGTAAATAATCAACAAAGATTTTAAAATACTTTGAGTTGATATTTTATAACGTTTTTGATGTCGAAATGTTGTTTATAACCTCTACTTTCAATCAACCGAAGGGATTATCGATATTTCTTTTTAGCATGTACTAATAAGATTTCCAAGAAAACTCATCGTTTTGGATACTAGACAAACCACAGCCTATAGGCAAAAATTGTTCTGTGGCTTTTTTGGAGTTGCAATTAGCATTGTTCATGCCAAACTTGACGCAAATCCATACAGGCATAACTGAGAAAATTCGACTTTTGTTGTCATCAATACCCTTATTATCATGCTTTTGGGCCAAGTTTGGAACATTATTGTTAAATAAAATTGGTATTTTTTTGGTGATTAATATGCAGTTTATCACCCCAAATAAACTACATATCTTAGGCCACACAAAATAAATGTCTTGTTTCTCGGGCAACTGACAGCTGAAACTGTAGGGAGGGAGGGCGGTTTCTTTTTTTTTTTACTCATTGATGGTGCAAAATAAAATTTGGCTATTGCTGAAAATTGTTGGGGCGGGAGGGCGGTCTTTCTTTTTTTTTTTTTTAAATGAGAAAGTCATTACTTGTTTACGTTTTTGCTTTCCGTTATATTCAACTTTATTGTACATACTTAAAACATAAACCCAAAATCAAGTCTACTAAAACACTGAGACTGAACACTGACTGAAAGGAAAATAATTTTCCATATTTAATTCACATTGAAATTGGTTTAAAATAAAATTCCATACGACTATGTAATAGCCCTCCATAAAGACAACAACATTTTTAAAAACTAAGCCTCTTTCACCAGGTGTATCAAAAATAATAATCATGGTAAACAGTATTTAAAACTCAATCTAGTATCGCCGGTTTATTTATAATTATTTACCGAATTCCAACCAATGCATGTCACACCGTGTCATCGGTATTGGAGATTGCCGGAAATACTGTTTCTTGGGATATTCGGTGTGTTTCTCAGGATATTCGGTGTTCTATCCGGTGTTTATATTGAATGACTATTTAAATCTAACTAACAACTGGTCAGTAAAACCATCAAATCGGTAATCCAATTATTATTTTCCGGATTATCGAAACTACCGTAAATGTGCTAATAATGACCCAGATTCTAAGGTATGCATTATGACGACTATCGTCATCGTATCGTATTCTTAGCTATAATTAATTAACCTGTTCTACGGTTCATTATTTTATCAATAGGATTTTCCAAACAAGGACCGACTGAAGCCGGCAATAATGAGCCGATTACGATCGAATGATTGAAATATTGTCGCCAATGACTTTTAACACGAATCAAATTCTAGTTTATCAGGGGAGGTAATTAATATCACGTGATACAAAATGGAGGTTCTTTCGATATCAATAAAAAAGGCAAATCTGCCAAACTTCGCCATTGTTCGGATAAAAAAGACAGCATGTTCATCTGAATCAGTTTTAATACATTCGAATAGATATACATGTATGGCGGATGTAGGTACATGCGGGATATTTTTTTTACGACTTGCTTGTCGATGTGCGGGCGGGCGTTACATATTTATTTTTTTTCATCAAGACTAATAAATAGACTGCACGCGCAACCAATTTTGCGTGCGGGCGGTGCCCGAGAAACAAGTTATTTTATTTGTATTGCCTTATGAACAAAAATTACAGTGCTAGCTTTAAAATATGCATTTTATCTGCTGAACGCCCTTAAGTGTAGATCGGACTTTCCGTTTTATCCCCCATGCCAAAAAACCTGGTGACTGCGATATAGGATAGGTTACAGTTTTCTACAGAATTTTTAAAAATTTGTTAGAGCGGATGAACCCTATCAATATCAGTGATCTGTGACCTTTAGTTCCAGAGTGACCCCAACAGCCCAACCATAGCCAAAAAATTTTGTGAATGTGATAGAGGCCACAGTGTTTATCCAATCTTTTTCAGATTTTTGATTCATATGAGAGGACAGACCCTATTGATATTCAGCATTCTGCAACCTTCTGTTCCAGAGTTACTCCTTTTAGCCAAAACCAATATTTAACAGATTTATTTCCAATTTGGTGTGAAATATTGAGTTCATAAGAGGATTAACCCTATCAATAGTCATCAATCCATGATATTCTGTTCCAAAATTACCTTTTTGTGAATGCGATAGAGGCTTCAATTTATGACTGAATTATTTATAATCCTATGTGAAGCATTGAAACAATGAGGACGAGTCCTACTTCTATCTTGCATGACAACCGCTTGATTAATTAATCTTTCAAACATAAAAGAACTTAAATTCAACCTTTCTTAAAGACAGCATCATTTGGAATAAATGAGACATCATCCTGCATTTCAAGACATGGATGTCTTGCTTCATTAAGTTTCAAACTTCCACTACCTGGAAAATATATGTATTTCATAAAATGTTAGCAATGGATCTAATGATAAAGTATTTTATTACATGAAATATTTGCGAATCTGTATATCAATTATCTGGGAATCTTTCAAGTGGTTCCATATTTGCTTACTATATCTGTGCCCAGAAAGAGCACTTCTATTAGAAACAGGTCAATATTTTTAGCTGGAACTTTCCACAGGGTAAATAGGTCACTATTACATCTTGGCATTTGAATTGCATATTCAAACCCACATGCTAAATTTGGGACACTATCAAGTAAACTATACATTGATGGCTAGACATCGAATCATTGGTAGGCTGTCACATTTTTTTTTTTTTTTTTTTTTTAGGTATTTGAACCATTTACAAGACACCAAAACCTGATCATAAACAGAAACATTGTGTATGAAAGTCAAGTTAATCGAATGATAACTTTTAGCCTCTCCTACAGATTAAGCAGCGCAGAAGGATGGAAAGACAGGTTAAAGACAAAATACAACCAACATGACATATCAAACTTGGTTTTAAAGATTCAATGAAGCATTTCAATAGATTAGATTATACAAATTTAAGAAATACTCACCTGGACTGAGCATCTTGGGTCTGACATACTGAATTGGAGCACTGGCAGAGACATGAGCAAAGCTAACTAATACATCTAACTGTGCTACCACATCATTTATTATTAACATAGGTTCAACATAGCCAGCTAAAATAAGAATAAAGTAATACTGTAGTTATAACTAACATAGGTTCAACATAGTCAGCTAAAACAAGAACAATAAAGTAATACTGTAGATATTATTAGCCAGCTAAAATAATACTGTAGTTATTATAATTATATAATTATGTGAGATAAATCAAGAGAATAGTAAAGAAACATTTTCACCAAGTTTGAGTTTCAAGCATATCTGTGTTAAAAAAAATATGCTGGCTGCATACAGCATATCTGCCTTTAAAAATGTGCTGGTTGCATATCTGTCTTGAAAAATGTGTTGATCGCATATGTATTTTATGTAGTTACCGAGAAACTTTTTTTTATTTTGTGTGTGTAAATAGCAAGCGATACTTCCAATACTACCAGTAACACTGATCTATCCATAAAAACACCCAACAGTATATGGAATTCCACAAATACATTTGTTTTATTTTATTTTTTTTAGAAAAGGTACATTGCAATGGGTTGATGCTTTCTGTAAATGGCTCATAAAAATTGAATTTTTAATATTTAAGAATTTTACCAATCAACCCAGAGAAAAACAATAAGCCTTGTGTTACTTTGGGTGCTATGAAGAATAGTTGCACAGGATTTGGATAAAGACTATATATGACAAGCCTAATGATCAACAGCAAAGCATGTTAAAAACCTAACCTCCCTCCTACATATTTCTAGAAACAACTACCAAACACAAACCTGCTATTTCTACTATTTCAGCTACAACACTTTTCTGTTGTTCGTTATATTCTTCTTTGGCTTTTAGATATTCTTCGTTGTGTTTTTGAACAGCTGAATTACGAAAACGAACACCGTTTTTATTTGTGTCAATAGTTCTATAATTTTTATTGTTTCTCAGTGCCTTTTCATCCTTGAAATAAAACAATACATACAATTAAATCAATAATACATGTAAATTAAATTTTATTTCAACATTTAAAGCCTTAAGTTAATGTGCCAAAAAGCTAATAGTTATTTGCCTTACCTAAATTTAACACAAATAAGAGCTGATATATGTTCTTTAAATAACAATCTAGACAATTAAATAAACAAAACTAGCTAGGTTAGAGGCCATCTTGATTTTCATGTGCATGGATAGAGCAAGAGAAATGGGGTTTAATGTCGACTCAACACAATCTAGGTCATTTCGGGAATAACACATGGTCAAATTTTATTTCCATAATTCGCTTGTGCTTAAGGATCTTTAGAAGTGGGAGGAAACCAGAGGACCCAGAGAAAACCCATCTCCTTGGAAAGGCGACCCATTTCCTTTTCATGACACACAGCCCCCCTGTGCATGGATAGAAATACGCAATTCTTCTGTAGCTGACAAATATTTTAAGACAGAAAATATGATGTAATGGGAACATAATATGTTATGTTAATTATGGTTGTTTAACATAGTGAAAGGAGGTGTACCATGGCCAGTTTTTCTAACATTTATGTTCAGTTATGTTGCTAATCAAAATAATTGATGCAACTCAAACTTAAATAAAATTTAGAATAAACTTACTTTTCTTGTAACTCTAAAATAATAACCTAGCTGATTATTACTTTCTAGTTTTAAAGTTTTATTTGCTTCTAATCCCAAATCACGTGCAACCTGTCATAAAAAAAAATATAACCATTACACTCATTATAAAGAAATTATCTTTATCATTTCATACAACATCCAAATATTTCAAAGCTTTTCCAGAAGCATTAAACAGGCCATCCTAGATTTCACTTAACAATGTCAAGAAATGGTGGGTTTAACTATGTAACCAAGTGTTTCTCAAAGAGTAATAGGGAACAAAGATAAATAGTTTCACAGAATTAGGATACAGGATTGCGAAAGTCTTTCACCACTAATTAATCAGTTTTATTCACGAAATACATATTGGACTGTTCTTGTAAGCAATATACATCTAAAATAACTTTTCAACTATACCTTGTTTACTTGAGCCTTGATATCACTTTCCAATGAATCAATTCTTTCTCTTAGTTCTGAAAAGCAAATGTATTTATAGTTATTGTTTATTCTAACCATGGAGTTCGTCTAATCTACACTGGTTACAGGCAGGGCTGCCAACAACCAGTATCGCAGCGCAATTTGCGACACATATTTTGTCTGTTGCTAACCAAAAATTAAAATCTAACGTTTTTGATTCGCAGTTACTGCGAATCATTAATATGCCTGTCATTTTGTATATTGACACAAGAATAATCCACATTTTGAAGACTAGAAGGCTTACTAAACACTTTCAACGTGTATAAAATGTTGAATAAAATTTTATAAACAAAACTGAATTCTCCGCGTGACATTTTCTTCTCGAACTATCCAGACACAACACTATATAACACAGGGACATAACTCAATGAATAGGGACTATTAAACTGGAAATAGGGAATCAAGTAGTACCACTCACATTGCGAGACATCAAGTAATTATATCATATTCATTTTGAAAGAAATAAATCCAGTGTATCCCCCACGCATTGTAAATAAAATATAAAAAAATAAATACATGTTAACGTATTGTAAAATGATAAATCAAAGTAAAAATTCCCGTAAGATATTATTGTTTATATCGCGTGTGTCTAGTTAATCGAGGTGCGCCTGATTGAACGAAAAAATAGTAATACGACTAATACACGATAAAAAGCAGACAAATTGTTTTCTAATGAAGATTTCTAACGTGACAAAAAATAACAATTAAAATGAGTGGGGCTTCGGAAGTCACTGTCAAGAATTGGCTTCAGACATAAACCTAACTAAATGTCTACATCACATTCACAAACTGTCACAAGTACTTGTGGCAGTGCTAAAAAATCTAAGAATTTAAAGAATAGTCAGAATGGAATCTAATCATATTTGTTATGAATTAAAGTAATATCTTGTTATTTAGGTGTTTTACGTTGAAACTGAAAAACTGCTAATCAATTTTTAAATTTGCTAATCAAATTTGGCAAAATTGGACTTTTTGATTAGCAGTGCTATTAATCAACTGTGAAAAATTACCGACAGCCCTCGTTATATATTGTTTTAAATGATATTCTAAATCTATCTGCAAGATCTCCCACTTTCTTGAAAAGTTTTAAACCACAAATATTAACAAAAGATAGCCACTTTGAAAAAGAAATGAAATGAAATTTAATGTCCTACTCCGACTGGGCTAATGAAGATGTTATTTGAAAAAGATCTGTTAAAAACTATATATATATATAGCCTCTAACACATTCACAAGGGTTGTGGAAAAGGTGGCATATCTCTGGAACGGATAGTCACAACATGCTGAATATCAAAAGGGTTCATCTCCTCATGATCCTAATGCTTCAAACCGAATTTGAAAACCATTTATTAAAAACTACAGCTTCTATATTGTTCACAAGGTTTTCAGGAAAGGGAGGATAACTCTGGAACCACTGAAAATCAAGTGATCTTCCTCTCATGACACCAATGCTTCCCACCAAATTTGAAACCTATCCGTTTAAACTACAGCCTTTAACATGTTCACAAGGTTTTCGGTAAAGGGAGGATAACACCGGAATGGAAAGTCACCAAAAGGTTGGAAATTAATAGGGTTCACCCTCTTATGAGCCCAATGGGGGGACTCTGAAAATCTGATCTCAATGCTTCCCACCAAATTGTGAAAAAAATCTGTTAAAATGTGGGTGTATAAAAATCAGAAAATATAAGATACTGAGTATCCCAAATATGTTCTTTTTAAAAATGTCCTTTAATACATTTGTTGATATATCTTACCTGCAAGGTTTTCATCAAAATCTGACTTAATAACAAATTCATGGTTTTCTACTTGATCTAAGTCCATTGTTGTTTCAACCATTTCTTGAAACTTGGCAAAATCCATCAACAATTCCTGTTAATAATATTGATATGAATAAAATACTAAGCAAGACCAAATCTTAAAACATTGTTGACTGCAAATAAAGAGCTCTATCTCTTACCATTTACTAAACTTCTTACAAGAATATTATTTCTAATTGGTCAGTCAGATCGGTCATGAAATTTGGAAACCAACAGAATTTTTCTCTTCTTAACCAAAGATTTTCTGAATTCAATCTGTACAACAGATTAAGGTTTTACAATTACTAAACTTTTGTATTGCAAAAATCATTTGAACAGCATAAAAGTTAACTAATTTTCTCAGGTTACCTTGGACAGCATAATATTGCGGGACAATAATTATTCAATTTCTGCATTTAATAGGATGTCATGACTTTATTGGCACATTTACCTTTAATGGATTTGAAAACAATTCCATGAGTAATGCATGATGAGTTCCTTCATGTTTTTCTAATGTTTCTAGTAGATAGGGCATCTTATCTATAGCTTGATATACTCTATAACAGTCCTAGTGGAAAAATATTTACATAGATCATTAGATAAATGTTATTTCCATTTTATAATTTATATGATAGGTTGGGTGGCTAAGTGATGTAACACATTGCAATGTAGATTATAATCTATTTTACCTTTGCAAGCTATGAGTTTAATTCCACATTTTTATTGTCAAATACCTGACCTAGTTGATTTTTCTCGGCTGCCTACCATTTCTAAAGACCCCTGTGCTAAGTGAATTATCAAAATAAAACTTGACCATCCTTTTGTCCCAAAATGACAGTTAATGTTTAATGGACATTAAACCCCATTTCTCCCTCTAATATATACAAAATTCATATCAACATTCAATCAAAGCTTTGATAGTTCCTATTATATTGCATGTAATGGTCAGAGATGACCCCTCAACCCTGATGATTTTTCCCTGTCTTCTGCTAGCTAATGCTACCAATATAAATCATCATAAGAAGTATTCTTGAATATACTTTTTTAACAATTTATTATCTGCTGTGCTTTACCAATGATAATAATTTGGAGAGGGAGAGGGAGTAATTAGGATGTACCTGTAAATTGGCCTTTTTTCTCTGGAATTTTTTCGCTAGTCTTTGAAAATCTGGTATTTTACGCAGTTGTTCTTCCTGAAGTGTTTGCCGTAGTTCTGTATTTTCTAACATAGTTTCTACAACATTTAATCTTTCCTCTGAAAGTTAAACACAAATAAATGTTTTATTCTTTAGGAATTGCTAAAACATAGAAATTTGGAATATAAATCATTGAAAACAAGAGTTTCAATGCACCTGAAGACGGATAAATTTCTGGAGCAATAGCACCTGCCTTTAGTTTAATGAATATGCCAGCAAAGATGGATATATACACAAATAGGGTAATGGGCAGCCTTTTGCTTAGTTTTTTTTTTGTTCAATAAAATGTTTGCATAACCTGAAAGATAATTCATGCTATTTTTTGGTCTGTAAAATCCTACACCATCTAGATGATCAAACCTAATCAGTTGAATCATGATATACAGTCTACAATTAAAAGACTTACCTATCTTGTTTATATCCATTAATGGTTGTTTTACCCATTGTGCTATTAACCTTTGACCCTGAGCTGTACGACATTTATTGAGTAACCCTAGCACACTTTGATTTTTATTACCACCTGTAAAATATAAAGTTCACTCTTTCATTCATCAATTGATAAAACTTCACTCAAGGTTTAACGTTTTATTTCTTACAACTAGGCTAATAAACACAGGCAGATGTTGTGCAGTATAAGCAGGATTACTGCCAGCCCTTATTTAGATTTCCAACTAGTCGTGGGATTTGTAACATGTTGCCAATTATAGTATACACAGGACCTTGGTTTTTCGTCTCATCTTAAGAACTTTGCACTTTTCTATGTCTGGTAGTCTGTCCTACACCACTGACTAAGGAAATAAGGCTGGAAAATCCTTGCTCACCTGGCACCTATAAATCTAGTCAACAGGGAATGTAAGCTACCATTAATTTTTATTTTGTAGAAACAAGTTTATCCAATTTGATTACAAAGACTGTTTATAGACAAACACATGTTTATTTATTGAGTTACCTACTTTCATTTGGATTAGGAAGCAGATTTAAAGCTCTAACAGCAGCTGAATCTAATCTCATATACTGTTTGAGGTCAAAGGTTAACAAAGTATATTGACCGAAGTTACTTTCATCCGACAAAACCTGAAATTACAAGTAAGATTTTATTTCAATAATTTGTTAGTGCATAGGGGACTTCATTATCAATAGAAGGCTTGATTTCACTTTCATTCCATATCATCATGAATATCAAGTCCCACGCTTTTCAGGTAAAATGTTTTCCTGTGATAATCAAGTTGAAAATTATGGTGCGTTCAAAGTCAAGGTTTTATGTTTGATTTGAGTGTGTTTGTGTCATGACCTCTGATTGGACAACGCTATTGTTCAGGTGTCTGCAGTAAAGGGAGATAATGTACCTATGCGATCAGGAATTTCAGACTAATGTACCAATGGCTAGATGTTGTAAAACTTGCAGTCCTTGATTCAGGAACATGGGGGGGGGGGGGGGGCTTTAGACGTAGGAAGCAACCAGATTGGTCACCAGATGACCCTACACCTCATCATGTACAATTTGTCTTAATGACAGACCTTATGATGTAAAGTGCACACAATACAATACTCGATCACCCACTTGCAGCATGAGTTTAAACTCAAATTTAAATTCATAGACTTCATGAACAATACTAAATCACATTTACCTCTAAGTATTTGATAACTGCAGCTAAAGCTGCAACAGCATGCACTTTATCCATTTCAGCTAAAAGATAAATATACAATACATAACTGTCAAATATATCATACTATATGTTAATTGAAAGGAAATTGTTCATATTTTCAGTGATAAGAAAAGATAACTATTTTTTCCAAGGTGAATGCAAATTCAGACATCGCACAAATTTGTGAAATTTCGTTTTTGGAAGAGGCATTAGTCAAATTATTGAAGTCATAGAATTACAGTAAATGTAACTCACATAAAGCAGCACTATTAGCTTGTTCTCCCTTTTTCTTTTTCAATAATCTATTCATATCTTGTACTATATCTTTATTATTAAACTCGGCTGTAAGAAAATAAAATATGCATTAATATCAATAATCTCTGCTAGACAAAATGGCAGACTGTGCTTGATAAAGCCTGAATTTGTGCTTTATATTCATATGTGACTATATCCTAAGTTTTACCTGCAATAGCTGCTTCAATAAAAGCTGGAACTATTCAGTAACTCTGCTCAGTTAATACCTATTCTATTTATTTGTAAAGTAGTGCAATGTTCACATGGTCTTGTATATTCTTGAAAGAGTAATGAAAACACTGCCACTAAAGGGCCTGATTTTCATAAATCAAATGAGAAGTGGCATCAGATGTTCCAAAAAGAGTAGGCCATACATTGAGAAGAAATAACCTCTACATATAAATCAAATAAGTAGTGGTCAGTTTTATTTTTGAAGTAAATAGTTACCACCAAAAGTCTAAATCTAAAGACATATCGCTTTTATCATAAGTTTTTCAAATGTTCCACATCACTTACTTTTCTTTCTCTCAGTTACGAGTGCGTTACTTCGATCTAAAACTTGCTTCAGTTTCGTATCGGCAGTCAATTCACTGGTTCCTAAAACACATTCTTTTGGTCCAAGTTGAACTAACAAAGCCTGAAAGTTTCAAACACGTTATAATGATATATCTGAATGCTTAAAATCGTTGATCGGATCGGCATTTTTCTAACACACGCACTATAAGATAAAAGTACCCTTAAATAAGAATTCAATTGTACGAAATTCTTAAAACATTCTTTAAGCACATTATATAATAGATCTTTTAAATACAAAAGAGTCTAAAATAAGTTAGCCATGAAGTTATTACAAATTGTAAATGATGAAGTAACAGCCACTCAATGAAAAAAAAGTTGCATGATTAACTCTCACATAGCAGGCAAACTTGTTAAGAATCTATTTTTAAATTTCCAATTATAGTTATAACAGCATCTTACCTCTAAGTTAGAGTACTGGTCATTATCATGAAATTCACAGACACAAAATTTTCTCACAGTGGCATCTGCATATCCAACACCAACCATCTTAATAGAAAAAACTAAAATACATGCCATATAAAGGACAATCAAATCGGTGCCCACAAGGCCAAGAGCATAGCAGGGTACAAGTCAGGGTTCCCGCGGCTTCGTCAAACATTTTTTCAAGGATATTCAAGGATAAATATACGTCAAATTCAAGGATTTTCAAGGACAATTTTTAGCCTAAAGTTACAATTGTTCATCTTAAAAATAACCAAAACATTACCAACTATCGTTATAATCTCATATTTAAAAGGAATTGAAGACATTTGAAACCAAATTAAGGATCTCAACAGAAATTCAAGGATATTTTCCTATTTCCGCGAAATTCAAGGATATTCAAGACCTTGAAAATGAAATTTTAAATTTAAGGATATTCAAGGATTTTCAAGGACCGCGGGAACCCTGCAAGTCCTGGAGTCCATTATCAAAACCCAGAGATCAAAACTTAAGGGTAAGACAAAAATATGATTAATGGAAATGTCTTTCCATTCTTCTGATTCCTTGATCAGGTGCCAAAACTTACAGAAATCTAATTAATAGCAATGTATTTTTATTTCTATGAATGCATGACCAGTTGCCATACAATGTATACTGTTATTTTGTAGTCCGAGAAGCACCATACAAGCATTTATTAACCAGCTTCATCCTATAATTATGGTCAAGAACAGATTTATAGGTTTTGTGCAGTATCAACTCTATTTATAAGAACTGGTTGGTGAATAATATTTGTCCTGTCTGATTTAACATATTTAGACAAATTGTCCATTGATCATAAAATACTTCTCACCTTCTGTCCATTTTCTGTAGCTATCTTAATAGCGACCACACCTACTGATCCAGCCATTTCATTATTTCCAAATAATATCTCTTCAAACTGGCTTAGATTACCTGGTGAAGCCTACAAACATAAAATAAAATGACATGGGATTTAACTTCCTACTGTTCTGCTCCTTGCTGGGCTAATGAAGACGGGCATACGCCATACATTGTGCTATGAGGGAAATCTTGATTGGACATATTCACTACGGCTTACTCTTATATTGAATTCCAACTTCCAAGGGATCTTTTACGTGCATGCAGGACCTCAATTTTTTGTCCGATCTGAACAACTATAATTTTTGTTTGGCCCACTGACAATGGAGAAGTCACGCTGGAAAATCCAGATGAACTTTCTTGGCCAATGCAGGGATCGAACACAGGTCCTTCAGGTTAGCGAGCCAATGTCTTAATCACTGAGCCAGTGTGGCTCCCTTCTACAAAACAACAAGTTTTTCAAACTTACAGTAAAATTCAGTTCATTAACAAGAAAGATATTGACTTCTTACAACTATTCTGAAACTATTTAAAGGGTACTAAAGGTTAGATCTCTGATTGGTAAAATTTATTTTCAATCAATCTAACCATCCGCTGATATATTCTCTTCTGTCAAAAGTAACTTGGAAATAAGATACAAGATATATTCAAAATAGACACTTGGTAATAACAGAATAACGAGTCATGGTGTCATATTAACACACCACAGGGAACTTTTTTACTTTTTATGTTATATATAATATTTGTTGAAAGCTAGAGTCCATTTTATATATAATATATATTGGATATATTTACCTTTAAAGCTAAAGTCCAGTCATTATTTTTAGAAGATCCTTTATTACGATATACTTCTACTCTATACTGTTGAACCAATAACAGGTCTCGCATTAAAGATTCAAAATTCATCTTACTGAGTACCACAGATTCTAGTTTTTTACTTCCTGTAAAATAGAATAACATGCTTTATTAACATAAGTTGTTTTCTTACTAACAGAAGAACCAGATATCATTTATTTAGAGCTTATTTTAATTCCACTTTCTGAGGTCATCAATTCAACTTAAATTACTGGGATTATGGAATTCTTTCAGTGACATGTAGAAATGGAACATAAAAAAAGCAGGTTACAATTCTATGTAACCATCAGGCTTCTAATTATAATCATATTAATGTATTTATGATGCGCTCAATAATCCATTTATTTACCCATGCTCAAATCACTATATTAAAAGAGTCTGTGGTCAACATGTACTACATAACCTTATTGTTATGTAGATCCTGAAGAAGGACATTGTTATATTGGTTTACCCTTTTCCCCTAATACATGTTTTTCTCTAGGGTCCAGTAAATTCTCAAAATTTTGACCATCGTAACATTAATACTACTTTGAATGCATCTTCCTTGGGACAATTGCACATCGAATGGTGGATTTTTGATGTGATGTCACAATTCTAAGATGGCTGTGATGACATCATACTTGGTTCCTGGTCAACAGTATGTTCAAACTTGTTTACAAAATGAATTACTGGTAATGTTAAAGGAGTCTGCTCCAATATATTTTAGAGAATAAAGTTGGTTAGTTCTGTGTGAAAGAATCTTACAATTGTATTAATAGAGTACAACCATCTGAAACTACCATATCATTTGGCGAATAATAAACTGTTTGTGTATATATCTTTTTGTTTTGTCACAAAAATGGTAGGGTGAGTGTTCTTAAGTACCTACATCTTGTGGCAAGCCTTGCTGCAAGACATTATAACACGAGTGGTTGAATGGAGGTACTTACCTCCTCCTAAGTATTTGACAACACCGGTTGTTTTAAAAACTTCCTTCGCAACGAATAAAGCATCTTGACCATGAACAGTATAATAATCCTGAAATAAAAATGTATACACACTGCATTTACCACAAATCTTTTAAAGAAAAGGAATAGAGTATAGTGGATCAAAACATGAAGTAAGATGACTTGTCATATGTTTATGCACAAAACCTATTTCATTTATTCAGACATTTTTTTAAAATACTTTTTTAAGCACATCTAAGTGTTTGAATCCCTGTTTTACGGATTAATGTGTCAATAAAAAATACTTTTGTTATTTTGGGATTAAAATTAATTTCTGGGGATAAACAGTATTTTAGGATCTCTACAGGGATATAAATTTTACACAGAGAGTGGTACTTCAGACCACACTTTTTGAATGTTAATTGTCACAGAATTTTTGTCAGGGGGTTATAGTGTCAAAAATATTAATGGCTGGGAGAAAAAGATAGGGTTAAATTATATTCTAATTTATAATATCATGGGTTTTACATAAATTACTATAAAAAAAACCCTAACTTACTGATCTGTCAAACACACGTAATGTTGTATTTGGTTTCTGAAATATAAAGATTGATTTAAATATCGACCTAACACACAATTCATGATATGCTAGTTAGTGCCGTTAAAACGACAAAATTTCACAATTTCAAAACTATAACTTAAGAACAACTAAAAAAAACAAATGACATCTACCCAAGTCTGATATGCAGAAAATATGATTGTGTTAGAAATTCTTTAAAGGGACTCCATCACTAAATTCATACTTTTCAGTATATCTTAGCTTAATTTTGACATTATTGTACTTACCTCTGGCAATCCTTTATGAAAAGCTAGAAATCCTTGTTCCTGTGAAAAATCTGCAATTAATAGAATGCATAAATCAATATACATGTATACTGGTATAGATCTAATGAATATCTGCATAGATACATTAATTTGATTTAGTCTTCCAAGCATAGGGACTTCTCACTAAGTCTTTGTTTTCTTTATTTATTATGTATCAGCAAAACTAGTCTGATAAATTAAACAAAAATACTGACAGGAGGATGGCTACGACAAATTTATGTGTGCATTGCCATCTCCTTAACTATTGTGTAAGAAGTAGGCCTGTAGTTAGTAGTTACAATGGATGTGGGGTAATGAAATGTTGTTCAAACTTTAAAGCTCTCTATGTTCCATGGTGAAACAATGTTTCGGACAGTGATGGTTTGCAACCATCGCATCGGGGTTGGGGTTATAACCTCTAGTGGTCAAAACGTACATTCACACTGAAGAGCCCTCCTTACTTGATAATAATGACAAGTCAAAGATTCAATAAAATACCAAAAATGAATTTTAGATTTGATAATCAATGTTATAGAACTGGCCCTGGAGGGCAGTAGCCATTACTTAAAGTAGCTAAGTCTCTAACTCAATATCATCCAAAGTCTTACACGTTGAAAATACGAATTATTTGTCAATTCAAATCAACATTGATGTTGTGATCTTACCAGGAAAAGGTAGGCTTCTGATATCCAACATTTAAGACAAAATAAACATTTTACCATTGGTACACAAATCGTGTACCATAGTGCGATTTAGCGTCCTTTGCAACAAGTGACCAGAAAGAACGAGGCTAGACATATTCAACTGGAGAGCCTGCTCAATAGGCTGGAATAACCAGATGCTAGAAATTGCTATAGGGTTGAGACACATGCCATATTTGGCTGGACATAACTGAATTAAAATTAGAGTCAAAACGGAAACAATTGAATGTAAATCAGTCTATATACAATCAGATTACATTATTAAATGCGTTGCGACCCATTTAGGTCAATTTCTAGGTCCCAAATATTAGCGATTTAGCTCCTTTAAGTCACTCTTATAAGTCAATGTATATATTTGTTTCTCGAGTTTGTCCAGGGCCCACGAAAAGGTCCCCAGGACCAGCAACCCAGATAGGGCTGAAAGGTATAATGTTACACCCAATATCATTTTATTTATTAACTATCAATTTCAAATTTTGGCTGTGTTGGATAAATCTCAACAAGACATAAAAAAATTAACAATGTAGATGTCCAAACATACGGGTACGTGCTACTAGTCACCTAGTTCAGCTCTGCATGTAGGTCTCATTACACTCAAGTGTAGTTCAGCTCTGAATGTAGATCTCAATCTCATTACACTCAAGTGTAATGAGATTGTGATCTACATTCAGAGCTGAACTAGTCGTCATCTTGAGATTAATTTGTAATGGGACTTTCTAATTGGCTTTTAATCAAACTGACTGATTGAGTACTAACTAGCACTAATCTTTGATGACAATCTCATTTATTCAATTGAAATTGAAAATTAATTACAGTCTACTCTAAGTACAAATATTGAAAAATATTACTATATTAATTTAATTGTACTGTACTGTTCAGTGTTCTACACAACAAGTTGTTACTTAAATTTAACACACTTATACGGATATACTACTTCTGAATTTTATTAAGCATGTTAATAAAATTCGGAAGTAGTATATATATTTAAGTGTGTTCATTTAGTAATCTATTTTATTTATATATATATTATATTTAATTATATAAGGATTAAACTATTAAAGTGTTACTTCAATATTTCTTAATTCATTGATATCTACATGTATATTGCAATTTACGATCAACCAATAAAAATCTTATATGACATTTAAATCTATCGAATTAGAACAGTAAATTAAACAAAATATTTTCCTATGATAAGCTTTTGTCTGAAAATGGGCGATCATGGTATTACCAAGTTGTAATTCTTGTTTTGGTTGCACAGCCATATTGAAATTACAAGTAGCTAAATTTGGCGCGGTTTAATGTCAAGACCTAATTATCCAGACAGCTCAACTATTCTTCCAATAGTAATCACCATTGGTATTATTAACGTCTGGATAATCGCGACTTCGAAAACTCTTCTCTTCCGGGAAAACAAAAACAACGAAGCCATCTAAACAAACATGGCGGATGAAAAAGAAAGCGAAATAATGAACAGATTAGATAGCCTGAAAGAATTACGGTACAAGTATTTTTATGTTGTTATATTTAGTTTGTAAGACAACACCAATATTCTACTCGGTCCCCACCACAGAAACAGTAGATTTTGAATTAGATTCTAAGTGAAAAATGTTTATGAAATCGAAATGCAGCTGTGCACAATCATTGAGACAATCTCAATCTCAGCATCGTTTTATTCGTTCGGTCCATAGTGTCTATGGCAAAGATTTACCCCCAAAAGCATCTATTTTTCTTAAAACAACATACTTTTATGTTTTTTCTTCCTTATTTTTATAGACGATTTATATATGGTAGCTTGACTTTTCAGACTCGGCACACAAACAACGTTTCGAACTCGGTCTGACTGACGATTTTTCAGAATTCAAAATCATAATAAACGAGGTTTCAGACAATAATAAACGATGATTAACTAAAACGTTGTTGAAAATATATGTATATTTAGTCATGTTGTTTTTCTTTTATCAAATAGTAAACAAGTTTGATTGACAGATCACGGCCAGTGTATAATTGTGAAAGCCTTATTAAAAGGAGCTAACTCTCTGATATTTGGGAACTAGAAATTGACACTTGCAAATGGATCGCAACGCATATAATAATGTAATATGAATGTATATAAAGTGATATACATTCAATTGTTACTACTTTAACTGTAATTTCTAATCAGTTATGTTCAGCGAAATACGCCAAAAGTCTTAATCGAATGGCAATCTCTAGCGTCTGGTGATTCCAGTCTACACTGTTAGTATTTATTGTGCATGCTCTCCAGATAAGAATATAGCGCTATTGTTTGATATGTCTAGCCTCGTTCTTCGCATTATGGCACACGATTTGTGTACCAATGGTAAAATGTTTATTTTACCTTTAATATTGGATATCAGAAGTCCACCTTTTCCTGGTAAGATCACAACATCAATGTTGATTTAATTTGTCAAATAATTCGTGTTTTCAATGTCGAAGACTTTGGATGATATTGAGTTAGAGACATAGCTACTTTAATGTCAATTATGTGAAACTAAATAATTGCTATCAACACATGGCCGTGGTTATCCACGATTGAAAACTTGCGCTTTTCCTCATCCACCAAAGAACCACAAGATTTCTTTGCACATACTATAATAGCATCAGAATTATGGGTTAATCAGCGTTAATTTATTATTATTCCACTTTGGTCCTTGCCATATATAATATTTTCCGAAAAGACTTTTCTTTGTAAACTTACCCACTAATTTTTCGATTGGTGCTGCCTTCTTTTGCACGCTTTTCGTCGAATGCATGTCAAAGTGCAGTTTACAGATTAGCCTTAAAGATATGTAGGGACTTGTAATAACTGTGCATGTCGTGTAAATATATTTTTTTGTGCGTTTGAGTAGATCATTTTTAAATAAATTCATCAGCATATTCCTTTCTTTAAAATATATTAGCTTTACTGGAAACAATGATTATCAAAGAATTGTAAGTGCAACAAATGTTTTATCGTTTGATAGAGCCTTTTGATAACCACATGTTTCATGTTAATATTTTCTTTCATGTTTTGAGTTGGCTTATTTCAAATAAATTTATCAGATATTTTTTCAAAATCAAATATACAAAAAAAAAAAGATACATGTACAAAGAAATACATATTATATAAAACATTCAACATTGGATATTTTGCCGTTCCTGCCAAAAGAGACAATGGATAATCTATGTACTGTACTCGATGATGAATAGTAAATTTTACCTGCATGTTATTTTTATAATATCCTTTTTGGCTTATTATAAACTGATTTCACTGTTGTTTTCTACCTTTCAACTTATTCCCAAATCCAAAACATCATGTACATGTACATGAGTCCGAAATGTCATCTTCCTGAGTCCGAATGGCTAGGGACATAATTTTTTGAGTCTGAAATGTCATGTAATCATTTATATTCCTTAAGCTAAACTTTACTCTTGTTTTAATAGTTCCGAGAAAGACGGACAAAGACGGGTATCCAGCTAGTTACTTATAAAGTGATCTTGAAAACGGAGACTCCTGAGATACATTGTACATGCAATATATACATGTAGATTCAATAATGACGTGTCTTGTTTGTAAATGGAACGCATAGTAATGTCATACATGCTCATCAAACCAGAAAAAAATTGCATATCATTATTATTAATTCTATTCTATAGATCCAGAGTTATTCAACTTGAAAAGGTAAAATCAAAGCTAAAACAAGATGTCGACATTACTGAAAACGAAGAAAAATATCTTCATGAATACAAGCAAGAAATGGAATTACTTTTACAAGAAAAGATGGCACATGTCGAAGAATTACGTCTAATCCATGCTGATATTAATCTTGTAAGTTTTCCATACACTAATTTTTTTACATATCTTTGTAATTACAAATCAGTCTTTAGACGTAAAAAATTATGTTCATGTATTGGAAGTTTTGTAGCAGGTAAAGACAGGGACTTTGTATGTTACATTGTGACGAATGTATACATTACATTGTGGTGATTCTCAAGCAACTGTTTCCTTTCAAGATGGTTTCCCTGTACAAAAATTCCTAGATTTTCACTCGATTTAATACAGTGTAAATCTGTTTCAAGTTAAAGATACATTATGTAAGATTTAGATAAAGAGCTAGCCATTTGGGCTATAATAGTTCACAAATAGATAATGTAAAATGAATAATTTGAAAATTTAGCTTTTGAAGGTTTGACAAGACGTGTGCAATAATTTCAACCATCGTACTGGTTGTTCGAAGCTAAGTCTCGCTCCTCCATTTTTAGCTCAAATCAAAATATGGCTGAACTGTTCTAATCTATTTAATATCGGAGAAATCTGATGCCATCAAGAGTTGATTATGGCCTGGATAAGTTAATTAATGTCTAATTAATAATTTAGAAAACATTTCAGGCCTAAAGAAGGACTTGTAATAGGCAGATAAAGCTCTTGCATAATGTATTTTTAAGCCTTTCCTTGTTTGCTAATTTCTTCCTAGGTCGACCATTAAATGCTTTTCTCGTTCTTTTTTTTTGTCTAATGTGAATATTTTTTACTGACTGATGAAGTTCTTTAAAGAGCTAACACCTCTTTAACTTTTAAAAATAAATTATATTTTTTAAAGATGGAAGCCACCATTAAGCAAGCGGAAGAAGAAAGGAATAGAGCTTTGGAAAGTGCCAAAAAATTGTATGAGGAATATAAACCTTTGAAAGATGAAGTGGATGCTATGAGATCTAATGTTGGGTTAGATAGATTACCTGATCTTCAGGAAGAAGAACAAAAATTAAACTCTGAGTAAGTGTAGGGTAATTAGTGAGAAAAACACAAGACAATTTTATTATATATTTGGTTGCTAGTTTCGGGGAACTGAGTTTTTGTAGTCACAAGGCAATTTCACTGTACTATTTTTGTTTCCAAGTTGAAGTCCACATTAAAATGGTTATTACATATGAAGTACAGCACAGTCAGATATTTATTGATAATAAATGCAAGAATCAGGGTTATATTTATTATGTATGTGATTATAGTGGCATAATTATCTGTACATTTTGAAATTTTGTTTAATTTCTTGGGGCACCCTGATAATTTGTTTAAAGCTGTGTACCGGGCACATGTATCTACAATGTGTTTTAGCAGGTTTTTTGAGAAACAGAATAGCGATTGGCAGCAGGAACCCCCAGAACCTCCTCTCCCTCAAACTCTACAAGTAGCCGCAGCAGCAGCACAAAATATTCAGGTTCCTAGATCTAAAACTGAACGTCAAGCATTCCGTCAACAACCCCCTCCCATGAAAGTAAGTTTTATTTTCTTATTTACTGTTAGTATTAAAATGGGTATCTGTATTAGAATTTTTTGATTTCTGTTGTATTAGGTAAAGTTGAAGTATAATGGTTTTTAGGTACTCCTAAATAATACTAGATAGTTCTTATTACATGCTCCTAAATAATACTATATAATTCTTATTACATGCTCCTAAATAATACTAAATAGTTCTTATCACATGCTCCTAAATAATACTTGATAGTTCTTATCACATGCTCCTAAATAATACTTGATAGTTCTTATCACATGCTCCTAAATAATACTTGATAGTTCTCATCAGGCATAATTGATACTGGACATTCTTATCAAGCAAAGATAATTTTCAGACAAAACTACTACTAGATTGTTATTATCAGGTAAAAATTATACTTCTAGTAAGATAGTTATTGTCATGTAAAAATAATACTAGATATTTTTATCTAGAAGCTGATCTTGTTACATGTAAATTGATGAAACTGATAGATATTTGACAATAGGAATAATTTTTTTTCATTCTGTGTTTATTTTTACAGGCATGTCTGTCTTGTCATCAACAAATTCATCGTAATGCTCCAATATGTCCATTATGTAAAGCTAAAAGTCGATCACGCAATCCAAAGAAACCAAAGAGAAAGTTAGATGAATAAGATTGAAGTGTATTAGGTGTTAGTGAGATATGTCATCATTAGATATATGTGTCAAGATTAAACATGACTTTGTTATCTTTATAAAGAATGCATATTGTGAGTGTGTGTAATGACTTTTCTATCTTTTCCATGTAAGTCAATTCATATGTTTAATGTTTTTTTTCATCATTTCTTTGTACATAAATGTATATTTACATGTACACATTTTAGAACATTTTTTTCATCGAGTATACAAGTTCGTTTTTGGTTTGGTACTCATCAAGTTGTATCCATTTATATGTTTATTTACATCATAATTTAGCAAGTATTAGTATTACTGTATTAGTATTAGTGATAGAGTCTATGTTATATTATTGCATTTAGAATTATATAATAAACAAAATAAATAGTCACAAGTCATTCAATTTTTCAAGAACCAGTTGCCCCCACTTGTTATGTCCTTGAGATTAGATTACATTCTGATTTTATGTAACACAATCAGTATGCAGAGCCTGATGCTTTGTTTTTGGTACAGAAAGAAATTCAGAACTTACGCTTTAAAAATATTGAACATGGGGGCTTTCTTGTAATAATGAGTGTGATTATTGGCCCAAAGCTTGAGTAGTAAAGCAGAGGCATAATCTCTTGAGGCCATTCTTGCCAACCAGAGAGAGAAATGTGTTTACCGCCCACTTGACACAAACTAGGTCATTTTGGATTTAACATATGGTTCGGATTGGTTAATTAACATATAATTAGGAAATTGAAATCAAAATATCAACAGCAGATGATCTTTAGACTTGGATTTAATCCGATTAAAAAGAGGCCCATCAAAAGATTTTAACAAAGACTATTGATGGCACCTGCTTGTTTAGACCATATCCTGTTTATACCCTCTGCAGAATGTTGAGTAATTTTCAGTTCATCATATAGTTGTAAATATTGAATGGATTGAAACCATTTTGGACTGATATTCCTATTACTATTAGGTATTCAATATTGTTGTTTGATTTTCCATTTAGGGATTCAATATTGTTGTTTGCAAGTAACAATATGAGACTTCAAATAAAAAAAAGATCAAGCTCATAGAAAAAAATATTTAATTCAAGCATGTTTTCAAATCATATACATAAGGTCCTCAAATTGATTTTAATTAAATATGGCTCTGATTAATGAAGGTAATTCATTAAAGTAATACTTCTGAAATGATTGAATGTAATTTCAAAATTACAAATGTAATTTACAAAGACTGGATACGGTCAAAAACACAGAATATATAAATAGATATAACAAATGTACATAGAAACAAATACCAGATGAGAGTTATAAACAGACAGTGGATATAGAATATTATCTATAAAACTTGTACCACATTCTTACAGCTTGTCTATTTTTGAAACCTTTTGCTAAAACTCCACATCACTAGTGCAGCCTGTATCTGTATCTACACTACATTCCATGAAGAAAAGATGCTGCATTAAGTTGTGACATTTCACTGTGACTCCTGAGGACACAACTACAACTTTTTAAAATACAAGACATTCACAAAGATGTCTTGTGTAAAAAGATTCAAGTTTTTTAACCTCTTTCATCTTAGTGTTTTAAGCTTTCAAATTTTCACTCTCTTTCAGAACATTTACTTAAAGAGAGAGAGAGAGAAATGGGGTTTAACGTCCACTGGACACAAACTAGGTCATTTCGGGACTAACGTATGGTTTAATTTTATTTACATAATTCGCTTGTGCGTAGGGGTCTTTAGCAGTGGGAGGAAACCGGAGGCCCCGGAGAAAACCAACGAGGTTGGACAGGCGACCCTACTCCTTGCCACATACAACCGGGGATTCGAAACCACGCCAGTTCACTCAATGACAGACTTTATGATACAGCGCGCGCACGCTAACCATTCAGCCATCCAACCCCCATATTTACTTAAACTGATGTTAAATGAATGTGCATAAAAAAAAAGAGTTCACCATTTGCATAGATCAATATCAAAGCTCAATTATGGTTTACTTCAGCCACACTGGATCTGTGCATTATTGAACACATCCTCTAATAAAGAAATGACTTTCGACCAAGATAAAGTGGAGTTAACAACCAAAAAGTAAAATGGAATGTAATGATAGTATAATTTCAATTGGACCGAAACATACTGTAGTATCATGTTTATAGTAGTCCGTACACACTAGCTAGAGAAAATAGCAAAAGGCCCTCATAAATTTTGGCACTGCAGTTAAAAATATCTTACTGACACATAGACATAATAACATTATCACAATAAAATATTAACAAAGAATTATATTATTATAAAAATGATACATAACAAACTATTTATATATTTTGTCTCAACACAAGATTATGTGATTATGAATGTTGGAAATAAAAAAACACTTCCCAACCGGTAGAAAATCTTCCAAGCGGAAAAAAGCTCTACTTTTTTGACAGATTGTATATAACAACAGACATCTTTCATTATCTACAATAAAATGTGGCTACAAGTTTTGAACTATTAAATATTGATTAATTTGATTGGTTATCACTAATGACTGCATCACACATATTCTATAAAATGACCCTTATTCACAGAAATTCAAATGTTGCTTATTGTCCTTTTTCAAAATTTTTGCAACCCTTGTTGATAGTTGGTCCAAGATATCCAAGAAATTAATCAGAGCTTGATGCATTTTAATTTAGAATACCCTGGAAAAATATAACTCTACACACTGGAAGAATACTATTAAGGGGTGGATTAGGGTCAAAGGAGACGACAATCAAGTTGAGTACTGAAATTTGATAAACTTCATCAAAGTTTGTGTATGGTGAAAAAAGTCTGATCGATATTTCTTTTCATCGTTTTTAGTATTCAAATACGCCTACAGTACAGAGACTATAGTCTAACAGGAACTATCCAGGTTGTTATGGTGATATTTTGGGATTCAAGGCATTTCATTGGCTTAGTCACACAAAATATATTTCAGTAAGTTTCACTGGATCTGAAATGTGGAATAGTATTAGATCAAAACAGTTTAATATCATCCCAGGCCATCTACCCAAATGACAGCTTTATAAATGCATTAGATACTGCACAGAGTTACTAGTCTCTATCATTCAGACAAATCTATTTGCATTGCCAGTTCAATATGCAACACTCTTAATTATTGTATTGTAAAATTTCTCTCTTCATGAAGCATATCTATGATTTTAATTTACTGGATAATCAACCACATAAAAAAAAAACTATTGGTTATGCATGGCCCTCCATTCGATGAAGACTAGGAGGTTCTGGTTGACTGAAACTACAGAGTTACCTTTTTGACATACATCCTGTCTGATAAATAACATTTACATTACTTATATAGAATAGATGATAAATACAGTATAACAATAACAAAATGATTCAATGTAAACATCGCTTAAAGATCTAAATTACAAAAAAAATCATGATTTTTCTTCCTTTACTGTCATATATAGGCTGTACATATGATAATATTAACTCATGAGTCAAATACACAAGAACTATGAGTTTTGTGTCATTTTGATAACTAAAATGGTTTCATGGTACTAATAAATTAGTATCTGATGATGATGGCCGATTATTTGTAGATGTATCTAGAAGAATGTTTGATTCGCCCGATGTTGATGTTTGTTGCCGACTCGACTGTCTTGGTAATCTTGATTTAGACAGATTTAATCTCCGTTGCATTTCCAAAACCACGTCTTTTTCATCTTCTATCTCTTCTTGTAGTAGTTCTTCTAAAACGTCTTCTAGTGTTATAATTCCTAAGATCTGTAACAAAAAACACAAAAAAGAATAACATTAATCTTCATAACTTTTAATTCGTTTTTTTTTTTATGGGTCATTTTTTACACAACATATAGAATCTAACTTATATCCAGAATGACTGCCGTTGAAATCTACACAAGTAAAAACATGACTCCGTGATAAAACGTGTCAGATGGTAAAATATAAAATACAGAACAAAAGATGAAAGAAATAAAACAAAAACAAAAACAAATGACACAGGGTCAGACTTTAATCTAATAAATATATAAACATATAACTGATGTTACCAATAATTTTCATTAAAAACCTTGTTAATCACGATTCATATAGAATGATGCTATAACAAAAAGCTGCCCCCACTCAATATTTTCTAACAATAGCAGTAAGAGGGCAGATGGTAAAAGTGAAACCATATAAATAACTAAAGTACACTATTTTAAGGATAACAAATTTTAACAAGTTGCCAATCAAAACCATTAACATAAAATCTGACTGTGTACTTGGACTTTTAAGAATATAGTTTCAAATTCCAATGTTTCATCAAATGATCATATCGGTTGAGAGTATAATCTACCAGTATTAAATATAGAGACAGAAATACAAACTTGATCTTCTGTGTCTAATGCTGCATCGATTACTTCACTTCTTAATAAAGGTGATGTATCGTCATCTGTTTGTTGTATACTAGATTCTATCACATCTTTCTTTATACCTTTAATTATAGCTAGATGACCTGATCATAATAATAATAATAATAATAAACCATATTAAATACATACAATATTCATAATATCACAGCAATGACACCAAATTTGTTTCCTGTTAGATGAGACATATTCACAGATTGGTAAAAAAACAACCCGTGATTTGATTATTTGGTTACATTGGGGATGTTCAGATTAGACTGTATGCAAATTATGGCACTATTGCTGAGCCACGTCTTTTTAAACAGTTTTTCTTTAGTGGTTTTTAGAAGTTAAACAAACACTTATTAAAATTACCATTTTCTAAGTGAGCCAGTGCTTGAATTTTCAATAATTAGGTGAATCTGAGCTTTTTTCAATATGGAACCATATAAAATTATTTTCATGGTGAAAGCGATATTGCCCCTTTAATTAATTAAATTAACAAACCTTTTCCAGTTTGAAAAAGATTCAGCAGATCAAAGAGTGGTAAATTTGGTTTAATAAATATAACATCTCTAGCATGTACTGGACTATCTACTAGAGTTCTTACTGGTACACAATCATCAGGATCTAGTTTAATTAATGTTTTTGTCATCAATAAACCTATTATATTACTATCATTACCATCATATACAGGTATACGAGAATGGCCCTTCTCCAAAATCTGAAAAAAATAAACAACATCATAGGTATAGAAATATTTTGGGAAAAATTCTTTGTAAATTAAAATTATTAGATGGTAGTATTTTGTTGATATCATTTCCATTGTTCTCCACTGACCGCATTACTTAATCCTCTAATCCATAGATTATCAATTTAACTTTCATCTAAAAATACTGAAATCCATAATGTACCTGAGCGTCTGAGACCAAAGAGTTCTCATGCTAAAACTGCTGCCTTGGCAAAATAATCTTTTTCATTACAAATAAAAACAGCTATGCCATATCAGACTTAATAGTAAAGCTGATGTACTTTAATACAGTCAACAAGTTGTCTCCCCTTAGACCACAGTTGATTCGAAATAAGAGATACTCTTCATTGGAATTGAATGTTCAATTATGAAAATCAAATGAAAACTTACTTCCGTCATTGTTTTGTGATCCATTTTAGCATTTACATCTAGCATAAATATTTTCTTCTGTGGAAGCATAGCATCAATGGCAGTCTTGTACTTCATATCTAAAGCACCCTGTTATGAGACATTCAGATAGTGATTAACTTCAGCTCCATTTCAAATGGAAAGCATAAACAAATAAGTTATACTTATACCGGTAAATTATAAAATGTGATAAAAATTGATTTGTTGTCTTATTGAAGATAGGCAATTGGAAATTTTTTGCCCTTACAAATAATAATATATAACTAATGAGTGATAAGAGAAAGCTGGGTAGGATTAAGGCCATACTCCTTGCAGCGTTTCGACTTATTAGGCCTCATCCCACCAACCACTGTCAGACTCAAAGCAAATTTCTGTTCCAAATTCTGACTGGTTAACAGTCCTGCCAACAACCAATACATTACAGAGTAACAAATCAATTGGGATTTACCAGAGCGCTACTATGTTAATGTAAAAGTATATAATGAAAATTGCGGTTACATTTATTATGTTCAATTAACCAGTGCATAAATATTTCACACATACTAATTGTGTGACAAACAAGGCTATTCAAAATAGCTACAAACATAAACATTGTATAACCACCACACATGGAGTCTGTTTATAATATGTCGGACCACACATCAGACGAACAATATTTCTACCATCTTTGAACACATTTAAGTGACAGTCCTAGATTTAGAGAAACCCCGGACCAAAGAGACGGACTATCATGTTAGGTAGCATAATATGGAAATACAACTTCCAACAGTTAATTTTATTTATTTGTGCTTTTTTTGATAAAATAATAATATTTCATGGATTTTCTTCACAAGTATGGATAAATATTTTTGAATACATAACAAAGGTACATGGGCAGTAACTGATGTAGGTACAAACAGACAAAGAAAAGTTTACAGAATTTATATCAGAGGCTTATTTCCGAGATTTTAGTCAAAGAAATTTCGTTCCAGCATCCAGTTTTACTTGAATCAGTAGGCCTACTAACAAACTATGAGTTTTTATTAAGAGGTCACTCCCGTTAAGTGGTTAGTTGTGAAAATTCCCATGAGGAGAGATTTGATTGACGGTCAAAAACACAAGATTTTAGTCTCAGTACAGCAATGGCTAGAGGGGGATTTCTTGGGCCATTGCTTCTTGAATATGGATTAAGGCATATGCGGCAGCCCAGGGCCTCTGACAGCTGTATGGCCTCCAGAAATTAAGTGAAAATTCATTTCAATTGTGAATACTGAATCAAGATATTTTTTGGGAAGGAAATAAAGCACAGAACTGCTTCTAAATATAAATACCGGGGTCGTCACAGAACAGGGCCCGGTTCCTAGAAAATTCTTAAAAGTAAGCACAAAGTCATGCTTCACCTTTGCTTACGTAAGAAACTTTATAAAATACCGTCTCTAGAAAATTCTCAAGACTGTTATACATAAGCACAAGTCAAGTACGAGTCTAAGCACATTGTGACTGGTAAACTAAGACTACGATGCTCTCTAGCGTCATAAAACCATTTTTGATATGCGAATTACGTCATAAATTGGTCGGCTGCATAGTTATAAATAGATCAATGACATTAACTCTGTTTATCAATCTAAAGTCAATCGGATAATAACTTTGATCTCTAGAGCATCCATAAGATTTTTTAAAAGTGATCAAGTGCCATAACTCTGCTAGTAATTATCGGAAATCATTGAAAATCACAGGACTTCTTCGTCCCACGACCTTAAACACTGTGTATAAATTTAAAGTCAATCGGATATTAACTTTAGCCTCTAGAGCGTCCACAAGATATTTCAAAGTGATCAAGGGTCGTAACTCTGGCAGTAATTATCGGATATCGTTGAAAATCAACGGCTTCTTCGTTTCATAACCTTAAACACTAAGTATAAATTTAAAGTCAATCGTATATTAACTTTAGCTTCTAGAGCGTTCACAAGCTTCTAGAGCGTTCACACGGAATAATTGTGAGAGCGCCTGATCTTAAAGTAGCCTGTGTTTGTGTTGTTTACTAATTTGTAAAAAAATATAATGATTTCAGGGTAGAAGCGAAATTTTCTATAGCTTTCTTCTCGAGAATATGTTTCTAAAGGATTTTCTCTGTCTTTCAATTGTCTCTTTGGTATCAAAAGATGTAGGAAATGCTGTCGAATAACTCTATGGTCAGTCATCTTGTTTGAAGCAGAAACAGGCTTAAGGTTGGTAAGCAAGCCGTATACCTTGCTTGGGACTTGTGCTTAGATTGACACATTTAAAAACGAAGTTGTGCTTAAGTTTTTTTTTGGAACACATAATAACGTGCTTGTGCTTACACTGAAGTCTACTTAAAATCTAAGCACAAGAACGTTCTTAAGAATTTTCTGGGAACACAAAATACGATAAGTTTACTTAAATGCAAAATCTACTTAAAGTCTAAGCACAAAAACGTGCTTAAGAATTTTCTAGGAATCGGGCCCTGGTGTCGAAAATATTTTAATCCGACTCTGGATACAAGGATTCCACAAAGGATGGGTTTGTAAGACATGTTGAGTTGGAAAAGGGCGGATCATATTGCAAATAAACATATGTATTGATCATAAACCTTAAAAGGGTGAGAACCAGATGAATTCATTTACAAAGCTCTTCTCACATTGTACTGAAATAAGGAACTTTTTCTTTTACCTTTATAATTAAAACTTCATCAACAGAAAGAGGATCCACACCCTGTGTCTCCTCACCATTACCATGCAGATCTACTAAAGCTTTGAGCTGACCACGTCTATAAAATGTTTCATGATCTTTTCCTAATATACAATCTAACAATTTCGCCAATGGCCAGGAGATGATGAAAAACAAACCCATCAAGAAATAAACTAATCTGTGAAGAAAAACATTCCAGTATTCAATCACATAATCTTCGAAAAGATTAGTAGTTTGTCCATAGATCTTTAAGCTCTCTAATTTCTAAATTAAATTTCAAGGTTCAGAATCCCAGGGCTCTGCTGACAAATTATACAAAATTAAAATACAATCTGGCAAACACTAAAACCATCAGAAATTCTCACAGTTCAATTTACCTTTTCATAATAATTACAAAATATAAATAATGGATTTGCAATTATAAAAGCTAACATAAGTTTGAAAGACAATTAATTAACTTACGGTGATAGTGTAGCACCTATTGCAAGGCCAAACCGTGTACATATAGCTTGTGGTATAACCCTATAAATAAATAAATGAATTGTTTCTACACAATCAAAAGACAGATATCTGTTCAATACATTTAAATGATTTTCTAAAAATAGGAATGCATGACCCACATGATTTAGAACTGGACCTTTTCAAAAAGAAAATGAACTATTTAAGACCATGTGTTGAGTTAAAATAGATAAATTATCTAAAGATTGTGCCTATCAGTATAATTAAAATTATACAAGCAATTTGTTTTGTTTGATTATTCAGTTATTTACTTAATTACATCTTGGTCATCCAGGTACAACCTTAATTTATATAGCAGTTTATCAGATGGGCAAGAATCAGTTATCTTTTGATTGCAAGCCAGAAGATGCTTGCCCATTATATTTTTCAAAATTTCAACAGAAACATAATCATTTCTATGATTCAATTATTTACAGTCATATACAATTAACTGTCTGGAATTAAAGTGAAGGGGAATAACTACAATTTAGCAACTTAAAAAGCTGTAACAACTTACTCTCCAAATATTAGCACAGCTGATACCGAAACACATATTGCAATTATTGGATCGGATATACGGTCTAGAAATATCGGCATGGCCTCAACACACCCTGCATTAGCCAGCAACAAGGTTACCAGTAATAAATGATGACGGCTCACTAATGGTATAATTCTTGATGCATATTTTTTTTCCATTTTAGTTCCACTCTCCTTTAATATTCTCAGTGTCATCATATCCAGTGACAATAACCCCATTGTTAATCCAGACATCAAACCTACAAAAGACAAAGTCTAACCAATTAAAATTTTCAAAAATTATAAGTAAATAAAACAAAGGGAAAATGCCAACATGATAGGACTTTTAATATCAATCAATCAATCAACACAGAATTTGTATAGCGCAAAAAATAGTTCAATAATGTTTATGCAGATTTTTTAGTGTTTATTTTCATCAATTAGATGTGTCTTCAAATGTGACTTGAAGATGTCTAAAATTTTTTGATTTATATAAAAGAACCTACATGTATGTACATGTACTTCTGAATGAGAAGTTCCATCAGATTCTGAATAAAATAAGCCAACAGTGAGGCTTCTGTCCACTGCCGCAATCCCACAAATAAATAGATGATACATATCCATTAATTGCACATGTAACTATGTATCTTTTTGAAAAGCATCAAGCAATCAAACTGATCTGTACTTAGTCTAACTAAGCAGAAAATATTCACAATCGAACTCAGCCAAGGTTTTGATGTAACGATACCTGGTAGTGAAACTCTACCCAAATACCTCCTTATAAACTATATCTTACCCTTTCCATAGGAGAAATAAGCTGATAATTAATGCAAAAAAATAGTCTATTCATATTCACCAACTAGTGATGGACAATGTTCTCTCACCATTCCTAGTTATTTAATGATTAAAATATTATACAAAGCACAATTGTCTTTCCTTATTTCAACTTCATTAATTGCATATTACCGCAGATACATTGCAGTAAATATACTGGTATGCTACTATTTGATGATACTTTTTTAATCGCTGCAGTGAGTAATTTAGTTCAGCTCTGAATGTAGGTCTCATTACACTCGCCCTGTACGTTCAGGAACAGTCCTATTGAATCCTTGTCGAAAATCTAATGGCTCCCCAGTCAATTTTACTGGGCAACTTTTTTACTACTAAACAGTCACGTGTCAGTCCCTGTGAATGCCTGAGAAAATAAGACTTTGCTTACCTCGCTAGAACCAGTATGAGCGACACAACATGCTGTTAAAAAGACATCTCCGTCTTCTGTATTTTTTAACAGCGTGTTGTCTCGTCATACTGGTTTTAGATTTTCGACAAGGATTCAATCAGACAGTTCCTGAGCGTACAGGGCAAGTGTAATGAGACCTACGTTCAGAGCTGAACTATGAGTAATTATACTCATACTGACATGTAATATTTGATATGGGGTTATTTGTTGCAGTGCCAGAGGGTTATAGAGATGATGAGGTTTCTTATCTACACAATACTTAGATAACAAACCTTAATCTCTCAACCTCCGTGTTTCAAGATAAGACATGAGGCCATTACCTATAATGTTGCACCCGCGGGAGCGATTCACACCCGGCATTTTTAAACAAAATTGACAATAGTTTTAATCAAAACAACAATTGATTATTGTTATTTATAATATTTCTACAACACCCAACTACAATTAAGCATAAAATCCTACCTGAAATGGGTATAAATTGTCGTTTTTAAAATTGAGGCGTTAAGCCGTTACTAAGACCACCATCTTTTTAAACGATACGCTGTCATCATGAAGGCGGGGCTTAATATAAGGCTTTTATAACAGCCAATCAAAAGGACAATCGAAAGCACAGTAACTATGAATGGATTTCAATGGCGGTGAAATGTCAGACAAAAACAACGCTTCATTAATTTAAACGCGAATATTTGAAGTTAGGCCAGTTGTGCCACTACATTGGCCTCTGTAAGTTTAATTAATCATAATATCATAAACTTATCTATTTTAAAGATGTTACATGCATTAATAAAGAAATTGAGTTTGCCACTTGGAACTAAAGGCATCCAATCGTAGCTAAAAACAAACACATCAGTATATCTCAACGTTTTTAGCTACGTTCTCGTAGCTACACAATACTGTGAGCTCACTAATTCTTAAACGACCTAAGAAATGATACATCAGTGGGAAGTGATAGATTATTGAAATATGGATAACAAAAAATAAAAACATTATACCTGCAATTATAACAAGTCCTGCATAAATTGACAAATAAATCCAAAATTGTTCGTCAAGATAATCAAGTTTCTTCTCTTCCAATTTATAAATCGTACCATTACAAGACACACTTTCGTGATCTATAACTTGGCACCGTAGAGAGTCAATCTTTAGCAGAAAGGTCGTTGCGCTTTCTAAAGACATGGAGATTATTATAAAATTATAATAAGTTTCTCAAAATTGAATCGGCTTTGGGTAGAAAAACAAAACAAAAACAAATAGAATCGAAAAGAGTAGTCTCCCCGGATTATTTAAGAACGATTAACAAGACGTTAAATGGGCGGAGCTTAGAAAGGGCGGGGTCATTTGCAATCTGTTTTACAGACCTAATGCGACATCCGTCTTTTATCTCTGTCCAAGATGACTGACCTTTTAAAGGTCAGGCCGCTGGAGTTCTATGGGTGACGTCACATCACAATGTTTACCAACAAAGCAAGATGGCATCGATAACGCCAAAAAACATTACTTCTGTGGCTTGTTTTTGTTGTTTTAAAACAAACACGAGCAGGTCAATCAGATTAAACGGTAAAAAATGTACTTCTGAAAGAATTCAGAGTAAACAAACAGAAAAAACGTCAAATTGATGGTCACACGTGCGTTGTTTACATCGAACGTAGTAATATGAACTGGTACGGGCAGAATTATATCGTTTTACCCATTTTACGCCTCCGCGTACTATTTTCTGTACCTATTTACGCTAAATATGGAATATTTTTTATCAAGATATACTTCAAACACCTTTTTTTATTTTTCTAATACTAAAAAAAAATGTTTCAGAATTTAATTTGTCGAAAGAAAAAAGTTAATATTTTGTAGTCATTAAGTCGCATCGATGTCATCCTTATCAGTGATTGTAGCGGCCAAGCGAATATTCACTGCGGATCAGTGTGAAAACACGGCTTCTGGGGTCAACGATTTTAATGAATGAATAAATGAGAAATGGTGTTTGTAAAAGATCATATTAATGCAACATGAATGAATATAAATCGATTTACAATTAATTTTCAAAATTTATTGTAAATTTCTTATCAATAATGTATACGGCTCCGATTTGCTGAAAAAACACGGCAATTCACGGGTCAATGGTTTTATTAATGAAGACGGGATGCGCCACACAGTGTGCTATCAATGAGGGATTTTTTTTTACCGGACAGCAACTGAATTCCAACTATGACATGTCCATTTATGTTTGGTCATGGACTCCATTAGTCGGGAGTATTTGTGGTTTTAGAAAGTTTAATAGTCTTAGCCGTCTTTAATCTGATCTTCGCGAATAGTAGGCCTATTGTATTCTGTTCAGTCGAATCTATCTTTCCAATCAGATGAAGAGGATCAACAAATTTCTGACCGCGCGGAATGTATCACCCGTATGCCAGCATCAGGGGTCTGTTTCACGAAATTTTAACTAAGATAAAATCCAAATTTTAGTAATTTGATTGGATAATATTAGATTGATTTTAGTGCTTAGCCAATCAAAATTGACGTATCAACTAAAATTTGGATTTTAGCTTTAAATAAGATTTCGTGAAACAGTGCCCAGGATTCGAAATGAAGTCGGAGCTACGGTTTTTTTTCTAGCGGGGTTCACCCTAGATAACAAACCTTAATCTCTCAACCCTATCTCAACGTTTTAGCTACGTTCTCGTAGCTAGGTTCACCCTTGTCAGTGGTGTAGAACGGAAGGCCTGAGAAGGGACAACGTATAGTTGTTCGGATGTGACAAAAAAACCCGAGATCCCGTGTACACATTGGTGTGTACGTAAAAGAACCATTGACATTTGGAATTCGAAATAAGAGTAGGCCCTCATAGTACACTGCATGGCGTATAATCGTCTTCATTAGCCCGGTGGGAGAAGAACAGTAGAGGCTTTGGTGGTCGTATGCTTAAAGCGTTTGCATTTGAGGTCTGTCATTGAATCAAGTGGCGCGGTATCGATTCCCCGCAAGTACGTGCCAAGTAGAGAGTCGCATGGCCTACCCCGTTTCCCTCACTGTTAAAGACCCCTTTAGGTGGTTTTTGATGCCGCGTGGACGTACCTTTGTTTACCGAACCCACCAACTTCGCCTCGAATCCTGATGCTGTAACGTTGAGGTGCGATAACTGGATAATGCAACATAGAAAGTTCATGAGCTTTTTCATGTTCATCCTTAGTCATCTGTCAATGTGGAGATATAAACATCTTCGAGCCACCAAAGCTAGTTTAGAAGTAACTGTATGTGCAGTGATCTTGCCCTATATGGCGGTATATTAGATTCAAAATTCTTACTTCCATTCATGTAATTTCTAACTTCCATTCATGTAATTTCTAAATTAAGACAACGTATAATCCAACTTCTTTATTTGTTCAGTGTAAATTTTAATTCTGTTTCATCTTATTTTTATTATTAATTCGAAAAATGTCTACTTCATTGTCGCTTTACATGTTAAGCATGAACGTCAAACAAATTTAGAATTTTGATACTTCTACCTAGCAGGGGGGTTGGATGGCTGAATGGTTAGCGTGCGTGCGCTGTATCATAAAGTCTGTCATTGAGTCGACTGGCGTGGTTTCGAATCCCCCGTTGTACGTGACAAGGAGTAGGGTCGCCTGTCCAACCTCGTGGGTTTTCTCCGGGTCCTCCGGTTTCCTCCCACTGCTAAAGACCCCTACGCGCAAGCGAATTATTGAAATAAAATTAAACCATATGTTAGTCCCGAAATGACCTAGTTTGTGTCGAGTGGACGTTCAACCCCATTTGGGGAGAGAGAGAGAGAGAGATGGGCTTGATAAAGACGAGTGTATCCTCGTCGAAACGTCGCCCAGTTTTAATAAACTCAGTAATTGTGTATCCATAAAATTGTACACTGTGTTAATATAGACCAACAGTATATAAATAATAATTGGCTCAATTGAAAAAAAAATCAAATAAATTCTCCAAATCCTACACTTACAATGCTGTTTAGCTTATATTTGAAATAGTATTAAATTTTGCAAACCATATCACGTTCGATGTTGTTTGGAAGTGGTAGACTAACGCCACCTGGCCTATGTTACTCCCCGGTCCGAGCTACCCCTATACCCCAAATTTCTGACTCGGGCCAGACCTAGTGTAGCTTCGCTAGGGGGTCATAACTCCGAAACCGGAAGTGGTAGACTAACGCCACCTGGCCTATGTTACTCCCCGGTCCGAGTTACCCCTATACCCCAAATTTCAGACTCGGGGCAGATGTAGCCGCCAACCCCGAACACACAGACTTCGCTCGGGGGCCATAACTCCGAAACCGGAAGTGGTAGACTAACGCCACCTGGACTATTCTACTCCCCGGTCCAAGCTACCCCTATACCCTAAATTTCAGACTCGGGGCAGACCTAGTGTAGCCGCCAACCCCGAACAGACCGGCTTCGCCCGGGGGTCATAACTCCGAAACCGGAAGTGGTAGACTAACGCCACCTGGCCTATGTTACTCCCCGGTCCGAGCTAACCCAATACCCCAAATTTCAGACTCGGGGCAGACCTAGTGTAGCCGCCAACCCCGAACAGACAGACAGACAGACAAACGACAGTCACAAATATATATATAGATAATGGTCCCGAACAGGTGCACAATAATAATAAATAATAATAATTGTTTTCTATAGCGCTGAACATTCAGTCAGTCTGACTGCTCTGTGACGCTTATGATTATAAAAAACAAAAACAAGCATACATGTATATACAAATAAACAAAAGAATACAAAGGAATAGTTACAATATACAAATGGAAAGTGAAGCATTTAAATTATTGTTTAAAAGTTTGGGTAAAAAACAGGGTTTTTAAACGTCGTTTAAATATAGCTAAGTTTGGACTATTTTGGACTTCCAGAGGCAATTTGTTCCACTCTTTTGGTGCTGCGTACGCAAAAGCTCTCTCAGCCAAATTTTGACTTCTGTACTGGGCATACAAGTTGGTTTTTATGAGATGAACGTAAGGAACGAGAAGGTACATATTGTTTAATCAAATCGGATAAATAGGATGGTGCCAAAGGATCGTTTAAACAGTTGAAAGTGATTGTGTTAATTTTGAAAATGATGCGTTGATTAACCGGTAGCCAATGTAACTGTTTTAGAACAGGTGTAATGTGATCAGATGGTTTGGTGAGAGATACAATTCGAGCTGCTTTATTCTGGATTTTTTGTAGCTGACTTACAAGAGTTTTAGGAAGAGAATACAATAATGAATTACAATAATCTAAAGATGACATAACAAAAGCGTTTATTAACATTTTAGTGGCATCAAGGTCAATATAGGATCTAATTTTGCCAATGTTATACAGGTGAAAGTTCGCCTTTTTGCACAGTCTTGATACATGGGTTTTCATATCTAAGGACGAGTCAAAGAACACACCAAGATTTCTGACACAGTTGGATGGGGTTATTGCTGTGCTTCCAATAATCACATGGTTGATGTCAATGTTCTTTTTATTCCCGATTATTATATTTTCTGTCTTGTCATCGTTCAATTTCAGAAAATTGCAGTGCATCCACATTCTAATTCGTTCAATGCATGCTTCCAGTTCTGATGTAGTGGTATCTGGTGAAGGATCAAGTTCAACATATAACTGGGTATCATCCGCATAGAGGTGGTAATTAAGACCCATCTCACGGATGATATCTCCAATTGGTGCAGTGTATGCTGTGAACAAAATCGGTCCCAATACGGATCCCTGGGGAACACCAAAGTCAAGGACTTTAGGCATTGATTGACATGCGTCAATAACAATACTCTGCTGTCTTCCACTCAGATAGGACTCAAACCACTTCAGTGCATCTCCGGATATACCATATCGAGTTTCAAGTCTCCCGAGTAAGATTGATTGATCTATCGTATCAAATGCCGCACTCAAGTCCAATAAAACTAGCGACACTGGTTTCTTCTGATCCAAGCTACATACGATATCATTGTGAACACGAAGTAAGGCGGATTCCGTACTGTGCCGTTTTTTGTATGCTGATTGAAATTTTTCGTGGAGATTGTTTTCACACAAATGATATTTAAAACGATTAAGGACAATTTTTTCTATAATTTTCGAAATGAAAGATAAATTAGACACAGGTCGATAATATTTTAGCACATTAGGATCAAGGGTTGATTTTTTAATGAGGGGTGTCACATGGGCTGTTTTAAGCGTTTCACAAACTTCTGCGCTTACTAATGACGTGTTCACGATTTAGGTGATCACTGGAATTAACTCCACT